AAACCCTTGTTTTTTGAGCTTTATAAAGCAAATGAAATCAACATTATTATCAATAAGCGATTTGTTTATATGATCAATTGACTAATTAAACCAAACACTTTTAAGCAAATTTTATAGTATTTCATCAAAAATTGAAAAAATAAAACCATATAAAAAAAATCCCATATTCTTCTCCAAATCTCAAACAACCATTAAATTCCTTCGCCCACTACCAATTCTGTCTCCCACCACATAAATTAAAAATAAAAAATAGAAAATCTCAAACTTCCTCACATATAGATCTTTTATATGTATTCTCTTGTTTCTTCTAACTTTGAAACACGGTACTCAAAACAGTCCAGAAATTGTATGCAACAAAATGCCACCATTACAAAAAAATTAACAATTAGCGACGGATACTATTGCGTCTCTAATTAGAGATAAATTAATTATGGATTAGCAACGGATGAGAAAAAAGTGATTTTTACAATAAATTAGTGATGGAATTAATTCCAATTATGAAGTAAAAAAAAGCATCACATTCAACGATGAATTAACGATGGATTTTCGTCACTAATTTAGCTACGAAATAAGATTCGTCGCCATCAATTGGTAAATAGCGACAGATTTATTCCGTTGTTAAATAAAAGATAATGAGTTGGCTTTCGGGATTCAAATTAGTGACGGATTTGAAAATCCGTCGCTATTTTTTGCGATTTTGTGGGAATTTTTCCATCAAAATCGCCAATTAGCGACAAATTGTGAAATCCGTTGCTATTTTGAAATTTTAGATAAAAAATTTTCCACCCACATTGTTCAAATTAGCAACGAATTAGCGACGGAATCATGTTTGTCGCTAATCTTTGAACTTATAAATACCCGATCTCTCTTTTTCTTCCCCATTCGATCCCCTCTCTCCTCCACCCAAAAATCTACCGTCAACCGGAAAACCACCACCCACACCACCCCTTGCTACCAAGTGACTCCTCAAACCATTCAACTCAATGAGGTGCATCTTTCTCTTTCAAAATCCAATGAAACCTTTGCTCTCTCTCCTTGATCTTTTTGGCAAAACTTTGTTTTTCTAACTCTTTTGTTTTTTTAAAAAAATTAAATGAATATTATAAACTTTTAGGTTAATTTTGTTAGTTGACTAATTGTTTGAATGTTGTTAATTTTATTATTATTTTAATTTTTAATTGTGTTAATTTATTTGGTAATTATTAGTGTAAATTTGTTAATTATTTATTTAATTTTCTTAATTATTAGATTAATTTTGTTAAGTGTTATTTTTTAATTATGTTATTTTTTATGTTAATTTTAACCTCAAAATTTTAATTATGTTAATTTTTTAGGTTTAATTTTATTAATGTAATTTTTTAAGTAATTTAGTTAAGGTTGATTTATTGTTGATTTATATACTTTTAATTTTTAGATTAAAATTTAATTATGTAATCTTTAATTGTTATTTTAAATTAATTAATTAATTGTGTTAATTATTAGGTGAATTTTGTTACTTGTTTGTTTTAAGTTAATTTTTAAATTATATAATTTTGTACATACTTTAGTTAAATTTTGTTAATTATATATTAAGAAATTTCTTATTTATTAGTTGCCTATAGATCGATCGACCGATCAACAATCTATCGTTCCTTCCACACGGTCTCCCATTCAACCTCCACTCGATCCTCCCGTCGAGCCCTCCACACAGTACTACAAGTAGGATATGGGATTAGATGAGCAAGATGAGTGATAAAACAAACATTTAGTAACTTTGTTTTATTTTACCGAACGTACTATCGAATGTTATTATTAAAATTAATTCATTTTCAATTTATACATTCTTACTTTTAATTGTTAACTATTACATCCAATATTAATTATTAAATATTAAGGCAATATTGATAATTTTTTTAAAAAAAACCAAAATAAAATGAAAAAAATATTATTTTTTTTGAAAATATAGCAATGGAATAGCGATGGATTAGCGACGAAGCCATAACGATTCTATGATGAAAACAGCGACGGATTAGTGACGAAAATTCCGTTACTAATTTAGCGATGGAATGGATTTTTCCCTCGCTAAAAATCAGCAACAAGCAAAATAGCAACGGACAGAGTTGTCGGTTGATGGTCCGTCGCTAGTGGCAATTGGCGACGAATTTAGAGCGATTAGCGACGGAATAATCCATCGCTAATTGACTTTTTTTTTTTTTTTTTTGTAGTGCACCATTATGAAGATATTTTGAGGGAAAAATAAGGACATGGCTCCATCAACATAAGAATCCAATTAAAAATGTTTGAAGCATTAAGGACTGACTTGATATTTTTTACGGGATTGGATTGATAATTAGATATTAGGGTTTGATCGAGGGTTAATTATTTTATTTTATCAAAAACATAATTTAGCCAGAAACAAAAATAAATAAATAATAAAATAAAAAATCGTGCCCCTTCGCACTCACCATCAACAGCAGCCACTTAAGTGATACGTGGAGTGTAACTTTGTTTGTATTTTTTTCTGCTACTTTTTTGTTGATTTTTTTTATCTAAACTTATTAATTCTTATATAAAAAAAAAAGATATGTGCATAGGAGTTGAACTTAGATTATGTTAGTAGTCACAGTTCCTAAACGTAGAAAGTGATTATTGAGGTAAAAAAAATCAATGATATCCTAAGATATCAAAATTGATTATCATCGAAAGAAATGAAATACAGAGAGAAGTTAAGTTCACAAAAAGATGTGGAATGGTCTCTCCTTAGCATCTCCCTCATTTTATAGCCTCTACAGTTCCATTTTGAGCTTTAGAATTAGACATGTATCAATGTTCACCTGGTTGAGCAACCATGTCCTCAAGGTTGAAGTCGAGGTATTTACGTTGTAGAATATCAAAGGCAAATTCCCATGTGGCATCTGCTGATTACCTATGAGACCAGTGAATCAAAAGTTTCGTAGCAGCAACATTCCCTTTCCTAACCATTTTTTTGTCCAAAATGGGTAAAGGATTAGGTGAAACTCCAACAGTGTTAGGTAGTGGAATGCGATCGAGTAGAAATTAAATATCTCGACGAACTGGCTTAATTAGCTGAAAAACATGAAATGTAGGATGCACTTAAGAACAAGCAGGAAGATCAAGAGTGTACGCAACATTCACTATTTTTGTCAATGATCTTGAAAAGGGCGCCATAGAAACTAGAAGACAGCTTCTGGTTAAATAGATGAGCTACTGATTCTTAGCGATAGCTTTGAAGCTTCAAGCAAACCCAATCACCTATTTCAAATACTCTCTCAAAACGATGCTTATACAGTTTCGACGACATACTAATTTATTTTTAATCGGATACTGATTCGAAGATAAAAAAATAATTAAAAAACAGAAAATTATGAAGATAAAAATATAAAATAGTATAATCTAGAGGATATACTATTATTTATTTATTATTATTATTATTATTATTATTTTAATTCATATATTTAAAATTTATAATAAAATTAGTTTGTTAAAATTTTAATTCGTAATCTTTTATTATAAAAAATTATTATTATTGAACTACGAACTCTTTCGTCTGATTTACTGTTTATATTGGTTTGATAAAGTATTATTCCCCTTGCACAATGAGCTATTATTGCTTTCTTTTGTCTCTTTGATCATCATGTCGATGTGATAAATTAAAACCTCAATTGACTTAGGAAACCTAGTCTAGGACATGCCTTTTTTAAAGGAAACAGGGGGTTACAGATATATACGTGTAAATCAAAATCCAATGATCAAGAAGCCTCCATGTTTGAAACCAAAAACTTGTTATTTAGCTAAATGAATCCAAATGGAAATAATATATTACACAATTTCATCTCTTTTTAAACCATAATTTTGGATGATAACATGCACTTGGAACCACTTGAGTTTATTACTATATGTAATCCAAGGACAGCTATATATATAATGACAAAAATTAGATTAATTTTTCAAAACTATATACTAATTTTCCTTACTCTCACCTGCCATATTCATCACCATCTAACTTAGAAAATAAAGATGTCATAGAAAATATAATATATTAATTACAAATTAGCTTCTAATCCCCTTTGTCTCTATATATAAATTAGACCTACAATAAACCAAAATTTTGGATGATAACATTCAATTGGAACCATAGTTAGACTTGAATTTATTACCATATGTAATCCAAGGACAGCTATATACTGACAAAAAAAACATTAATTTTTCGAAACTATATACTAATTTTACTTATTCCCATCTGCCATATTCATCACCATCTAACTTATAAAATAAAGATGTCGTAGAAAATATAATATATTAATTACCAATTAGCTTCTAATCCCCTTTGTCGCTACATATAAATTAGAACTACAATAAACCATAATTTTGGATGATCATAAAATTTAAATTAAACTAAATGGTCCAAAAATTTACAGAATTTTAAGTTATTTGAGAATCAATTTTTAATTTTGGATTGGACCTTCTTCAAAATTATTCACTAATTTTAGCATATTTTAACTTATTTTTTAGCTGCCGTTAAAATTAAAAAGTCAATTATGTATATATAAGTCACGGTGTTTTTAAATTCAAAATTGACAAAAACTTAATAGAAAGATTAAATTTCAAATAAAAAATAGATAGAGAGAAGTCTAATCTAAAATTAAAAGATGAAAAACTGATTATCAAATAATATAAAATCAGGATAGTTTTGGAACATTTAACCTTGAAATTAACTATATTTAAGTTCAATTAATTACTATAATCCAAAGAAACTTATATACCAAAGGCAAAAGCATTGTCCAATATTTTAATTACCCACCTGCCATATTCATCATCATCATCACCTAACATATAAAAATAAAATGATGTCAAGCCACAAAAATATGACCAGTCTTCTATGAAAGTTCTACGAAATGATTTTTGCTCTATAAATTAGAACTTCAATGGACTTCCAAAGCCATAGAAGTTGTGAACATTGAGAAATCATTCTTATAGGATAAATTGACTAACTAGTGAAAATGCTTCTTTCAAAAGTTATAGTTGTAGCTTTATCCTGTGCATTTTTGCTAGGAGCTGCACCATTAGCCTATGGTCAGCTTAGTCCAACATTTTATGATGAAAAATGTCCAAATGTGACCAGCATCATACGTGAGATCATCACAGATACCTTGTCATTCGATCCTCGGATTGCTGCCAGCCTCATTAGGCTTCACTTCCATGATTGCTTTGTTAACGTAAAATTTCATTTCTCTCCAATAGTTTCTTTGGTTTCTTGTTAATAACAATGTCCTTACTCCGAAATGTTTTCCCTTTTTTTTCAGGGTTGTGATGCATCAATTTTGTTGGACAACTCTGACGATATAGAAAGTGAAAAGCAAGCTGCGCCAAACAATAACTCTGTAAGAGGTTTTGATGTTATTGATAGAATGAAAGCCAGGTTGGAGAGTGAATGTCCTGGCGTCGTTTCATGTGCTGATATCCTCACTGTTGCAGCTGAAGAATCTGTTGTTTTGGTATGTTAAAATTGGCTTCATAAATTGAGAAGGAAATTTATCTGTATAATGTTTTTGCATGCATACTATATTCTAAGCTAATTAACCTATGTATGGTTACAGGCAGGAGGTCCCTCATGGGCAGTTCCTTTAGGAAGAAGAGATCGCAGAACCGCAAACCAGTCTGCAGTAGTTGATTTCCTTCCATCCCCTTTCGAAACCCTTGATCAAATCAAATCCAAATTCAGTGCCCTTGGCCTGAATAACAATACTGATCTGGTTGCACTATCTGGTAATTAACTACTATTATACCCTTTTCTAGGAAAAAGAAAAACAGAAAATGTTTCCTCCTTCGATGACATTTTTCATGATTTCTGTCATGTCAGGTGCTCACACATTCGGAAGGTCTCAATGTCAGTTTTTCACCAATCGAATGTATAATTTAACTGATTGCAGTACTAATCCTCAACCAGATGGAACCTTGAACTCAACTTATCTACAAAAACTCATAGAATTGTGCCCTTGTAATGGAAATGGGAGTGTGCTAGTCGATTTAGATCCTACAACACCTGACGGTTTTGATAGTAACTATTACTCCAATCTGCAAATTGGCCAAGGCCTACTTGGGAGTGATCAAAAACTGTTTTCGACTTCTGGGGCAGATACCGTTGACATTGTCAACAGCTTCAGTGCTAATCAAACAGCTTTCTTTGAAAGCTTTGTGATTTCCATGATAAAAATGGGAAATCTCAGCGTTTTAACCGGAACAGATGGAGAAATCAGATTGAACTGCAGCGTAGTCAATGGAAACTTGACAAGACCAAACACTCTGCTTGTTAGCTCCATTTGAATGAAAGCTTTTCTGAGAAGTTATTGATCTACTCCTATCGATATGCATTGTGTAATAAAAATCATCTGTATGATGAAAAGTTGATGTCATGATGATTACAAAGTTAGTATGAATGTTTAATTGTTACAGCTTGTCGATTTGCCGGCCTACTCTCCTATTAATGGAGTCTCATTGAACCAAGCCTCAGGCTCCTTTACATTCCATATCATTTTTCTTACCCTCTTAAAAACAGTATTATAGTGTAGACACCAGTAATAATCCATGCCAAACACCAAAGCATCATGTTTCTTCTATGGTCTCTTATTCTGTAGTAGATGATGTAGTTCCTTCTGCTTATGTTCGAAGAGGAGATGAGTGTATACGATCTCATTCCATGTATCAGGAACCCCAGGGAGACACCAATGACTGCAATCCTGGACTCCCGACGCCGATCTCCTCACCTCTTCGGTCATATTCTGCTCCCTATACATTGAAGGATGCGCATCCCTCCGGAAATTAGTCATTCTTGTAACATTTAGATAGAACACTGGTGTCTTCATACGCTTTAGTACCGACTCCAGAATTTTCACCATTGGTGGATCTTCTTCAAAATAAGTCTCCTTCGTAAGTGGCTCGGTCTCACTGTCGCATTTCCCACCAGAATTCCATTCTCCACCTCTGTGAATGATGCAAAGGGTTTAAAAAAATTTTTACATGATCCTCAATTACGGAGGTTTCGAATCCCATGGATAACTTATGTTCTACATTACATACCTAAAATGAGAAACAGAATATCCCCTGAAGAAAACAAGGGTCTTGGCAGGATCTGTGTTTGTTTCCACCCATCTACCCCATGTTTTCAAGGCTTTCCTAAATGCCTTATTGACATTCAATTGACTGTAGATATGGTTACCTTCTTGATAGTAACCCCTCCTGCAAGTATATGACATTATAATTTGTTCCTTTACGATTTCCTAACAAGAAAATGATACCTGAAGGGAAGGAACATATATGTCACCCGTTGGAAGTTTTCTCATGAGTCCACCAGTGTCCTGTGTTGAATATCAGAACATCTGCGCTTTTGTACTTGTCGGAGGATCTCTCAAGCATATCAAGGCGGAGTGTTTCCTTCTTTGATCCATTTTTACCCTCCATCTCCCATTCTTGAACAAGAAATGGTGATTGAAAGAATTCGACTGAGGAATTGTAATCCTACCATTAATCCAATTAAGTTAAGGCTTTCAAATAACGAAAAGATTTCCTGCAGCATTTATGACATACAAAACGGGAAAACATATACCAAAAACATAAACTAGAGAAACAAAAGTTGAGATTCAAATTTTCATTTTTGAATTATGAATCTTCCAAGTTAAAGAGAATTACTTCGAATACGAAAGAGTAAGAACTCTCTGATCGAAATTCTTCTTTGCCAGAGGCTTCGAAAACTTTAGTCTTGTCTTCCACCGAATTTCGAAGAATACAAACCAGAGATTCCCACATGTTCCTATTGACAGAATCACCAACAAAGACTAATCGCTTCCCTCTCAACATCTCCAACATAATTTTACCATTCATCCTGGAAATTGAAGTTAACATATATTTCAAGGATTGCTTGATAATTTGATAGCAAAAAAAGCAAAAAAGCATCCCCACATTTCTCAACAGAATTGCTAGTCAAAATCAAATATATTATGACTAGAAATTGAAAATCATGGCTAAAAAAATATCATAGTAATTGAAAAGGTACAAAAACACATGAACACATTATATATTTACCTAGGGATGTTGCAATGCCTTGGTTGCCATCTATATTTTTGAAACTCACTATCAGGCCTTCCATTAAGAAAACAATCGAAAGGTTCATCAATATGAGGACAGGATCCTGGTGCATATAAAGGGTAAGAATCATCCTTCGCCCATTTCCCATCAAACAAACTGCACCGCCTCATTTTCCTCACCCATTTCTCAATTTTCCTGTTCCTATCTCTCCGTTTTGGACCCGATGCCAACACCTTGTTTGAAACTCTGTCTTTCTCCACATCCCTTTTTTTATTCCCATTTTCTCTCTTGAAAACATATTGCTTCTCCTTACCAAGAGAATCATTCGCCGTTCTATGTGCTACATTGTCATTTAAACCATCACTTAATAAAGGGTTCTTTTCAGAAGTGTGATTGGATTCTTGAGGCAAAGAAAGAACCCCATTTTTAGAATCAATGAATGGAGATTCGTTGGGAACGTGAAGAAAGGTGTTTGGTTGTTGAGAAAGAGATGAAGAATTGGCGAGAAAGAGAGAGATAAGGGAGGAAAAACGTAAGGAATAGCCAAAAAATGATTGATTAAAGAGCAAGAGAAGAGTGCATGGTACAAAGATAAACGTGAATCCAAAAGCAAAGGACAAACATTTTCTTCTCATAAAAGGCATGAAAATAGGCTTTGATGTGTCTACAGATTTCGTGAGTAGACGGTGTTTTGTTGAAGATATTGGTAATGATGAGTCTGCCATGCTCAAGGATCTAACTTATAAATTAGTTTCTCTAGATTCCATCTTGAAATAAATAATTTTTTTTTAGGTATAAAGAGTCAAACCTCTCCTATATTTTAGTTTATTTGAAAATCAATTTTAAGTTTTTAATTCGTGTTTTGACTTTTTTTATTATTTTTTGTTTTTTTTTAGATTTAGTCTATCTTAAGATCTCTGGCTATAATCCCTCCTCTATAAAAAAAAAAAATTCAATTTTTGATACTTTGATCTAAATTTGATGGAAGATCTAACTTATAAATTAATTTTTCTAGATTCCATCCAGAAGTAAATAAATAAATTTTTTAGGTAAAACAGTCAAATATCTCCTGTAATTTAGTTTATTTAAAAATCAATCTTTAAACTTTTAATTTGTATTCTGATTTTTTTGAAGTTTTTCTTTTTTTAGATTAAGTCCATATGATTTTTTGCTATCACCCCTCCTTTCTAAAAAAATTCAATGCTTGGTATTTTGATTTGAAATTTTGCACACACATTGAGAAAAATTCAATCCATAATTCCATAGTATTTCAAGGTTGAGAATTATATTTTTTTTAATATTAAAAATATAGAAATTAGAAAATAAAAAATAAAAAATAACCTAACTGATCCCAATTTTTTTGGAGAGTTTCATATAAATTTTACTGAATGAATTTCATCGTGAAACTATTTATGTAATTGTTATTTTTTAGGATAAATGATAGAAAACTAAAGAATAGATTAAATCTTTTTTAAAAAAAAATTCAAGGAGCTCAAAACACAAATTAAAAATTTAGGAGAGGTTTGATCCGCTTAGCCATTCTTTTTGTTTCAAAATCTAATATTTTAGTCTTTATATTTTTAATTCTTTTTTAATTTAATCTTTTTCATTATTTTTTAATTTTTTTTAAGAAATAGAAAAATAAAAAAATTAATAAAAAAAATATGGAAGGATTGATGAGAAAAATTGATATTTTTTAAAATAAAGTAATATTGAATTAAGCATTATCAATATTGGTCAATAAACAAAATAATTAATAATGCTCCCTCTATTTCAAAAAAAAAAAAAATTGTCCTTCTTTCTATTTATATTTGCCCCAAAATACTTATCTAATCAAAATTTTAAATAATATATTTTTCTAAAATATCCATAATTGATAAAGAAAATCAATTCTTTCTTTCATTTTCTGTTTTTCACTAAACAAAAAATCAATATTCTTTATATTTTTTCCTCATACATACAAATACTTTTAACATAAAAAATTTATAGAAAAACTTGTGTTATATGAAAAAATTTTAACATAAAAGTTTTTTAAAGTAAAATATTTTCTTTAGCATGTTATTTTTTTATAATTATTTTAAATTTGATTATTAATTAAATTAATGATTTTTTCTTTGATTTACCATCTTAATTTTCGATAGGTTTTCTCCTTAAAATTAATATTTATTCTATCTAATGCATGATTAAATTTAATTACTAATAATTTTAATAAAAAGAGTATATTAGAAAATATGAATAAAAAATATTGATATGGCATAATAATTAATAACTTTTTAAAACTATGTGAAAAATCAGAATGGACAATCTCTATGGATAAAAGAAATATTAAATTAAGCACCGTCAAAGGACTAGCTAATTCATTTCTAAGAAATGCAGAGACTAATTTATAATTTGCTCATGGATCAAGATGTAAACGTGCTTGTTACTTCTCATTTCATTGAATGTCAAATTTTGTAATTTTCTGGGAAACCATGAGAGATATATTTTGTTCTTTCTCACACGTATATGAAGGCATTATGAATGATATATATATATTTGATCCTGTTGTTTTATAGTGACATAATTAATTAACCTTTTTTGTTTAATTTCCTATACTTTTATGATTATTATTCCTTAAATTTTTGGGGCTTTCTTTAAAGAAAAATTCATTTTTATCAATCTATGAAATCGAAATGACAGAGTTCTCCATTGAACAAGTTCGCTCCCAATGGATGTTGGCCCCGTATTAAATTTTCATTTAAAGATATTATTGCATGAAGAGTTGCAGTCACAATAAATGGCTGAAACAAACCTGTCTGAAATTTGTGAGCTTAAATGCAATACGTATTACCGGAATGTAACAAACATGATTTCTAATTTTCCCTTCTATTGATATCTGACAAATAATTTTAAATTCTACATATAATTGTAAAAATAGTGTAGTGAATGGTTTTAAATCTGAAAAGCGAGATCGCAATTGTGATTTAATTATGAATATAGTTAAATAACAATTACAGTAACTAAAAATCGTAAATGCATTAACAGCTATTAATAAATTTATTTTTAAAAAAACTTTTGAAATAATATTTAATACATTAATAGCTATTAATAAATTTACTTTAAAGCAAAGTTTTGAAATAATATTTAATGACCATTATTCACCAAATAACAACAATGCATCACTACCGTTATGCAAAGCCGTTACTACTGTTATTTGAATGAAATGCATTTGTACTCTTTAAGATGCCGTATAATGAAAACAAACATATCCGAATTCGTTGAATAAGGGAGTTATTTGGAATTATAGAAGTCCTTCCCGGAAAAAAGCTCTGAAGCTAAAGGAAGCATTTAAATAGAAACCTGAATTATTATGAGCCACGACTGACTGATATCAGACTATTAACTTCAGGAGTAAAGCAGAAAGGAAACAGGAACCTTTCATTTATTCAGTTTCTTGAGCATCCAAGTTGCGTTAAAATTCAAACAGAAGTTACACACAGGCTTTGTACTTCTGAAAAGGCGGGCCCGGGAAGCATATGCAAAGGCACAGGAGATGGAAAGTTTAGTTGGCATCAAGAGAGACCAATGACCTTGCCGGTGGCAGTGTCGAGATCAATATCGTAAAAGCAAGGCCTTGTTGGAAGCCCTGGCATAGTACTCATAGTCCCAACCAAAGGATAGATGAAACCAGCCCCAATGCTAGCCCTGACATCTCTTATTGGCAAAACAAATCCAGTGGGGGCTCCTTTCTCAGACGCTTGGTGCGAAAATGAATACTGGGTTTTAGCCATGCAGATCGGCAGAGAAGAGAACCCTTGCCTGCTGTACATCTCAATTTGTTTCTCGGCCTGGTTAGACACAAAGAGAGAGAGAGAGTCATGTCAGAGAACAGGTTCTAAACAAATGTCCATGTTTCAAAATTTTCAATCGTGGGCACTTTGCTGGCAAATTTCACAATTCTGCATGACTTGCATGTGACAGAAAACGGATTGCTTTGAATTAACTTCTATGAAAAACAAGCTTCATACCAAGAAAAATGCATCAAACATCTTCCACAGTAATTTCCATAGCAAGAAAACTTTTAATCCTTCCACAGTTTTAAGAATTTGGGCCCGGAAAAACATGAACCTTCAGATAAGATTAAAAGAACCATATTGGAAATTGAAAAAAGAATGCTTTACCTGCTCTGAGAATTCAACGCCACTAGCACCATACGACCTTGCTATTGCCTCTATTTTCTCTTTAATACTAATGTCCAAAGAATATAAAAACTTTAGTTGCTGTGACACATTCTCACAAGCCTTTTGAACAGCAATTCCAAGGTCCACCTGAGAAATGCAGTAGAGTAACTTAACCAGTCGATAAAAAGGTTAAAACCAATTCTTGGATATATCAGCCCTTTTGTCTAATACAGATGCTCAAGGAACCAGAATCAGATTTGGGCCACTGTTAAAGGGCAACATATACTGATATAACAGCTTCAATACAACTAAACTGGACAAAAAATTTCATTTCAGGTAGTGAACTTTTCATTGACTAAGATATATCTTTAGCTCCCCAGGATGTGATTAGAATTGTAGATTTCTTGTGAAGGATGTACCAGAGGAAGCAAGCAAGGGGGTGAAGCAGAGAATGCAAGTTTTTACGTGCAGAAGAACCAGCCTTCAGATACGAGTGGTTTAAGTATATAACATATGAAATTGAGCATGAATTATATGCTAGTGCTATGATAGAAGGGAAATTACCAATGAATTGACAGAGTAAGATTTAAGAAGCATGGTAACTTGATTTTTTGGTTTAAAGGAAAGAGGAGCGATACCATACATATTCATCCTGTTTCAGTATAGGGTTTAGTATAGGAATGGACAAATAGGATGAACTAACTTACCGCTCCTTTCCCACCATGAGCATGGTGTGTACAGACAACAGCATCATAGGCCCCAGCAGCCAAAGCTGCATTTCTGACTGCATTAAGTTCCGCTTCTGAATCAGTTGCAAACATGTTCACAGCGACAACAACATTTACGCCATAAGCCTTCGTGTTAGAAATATGCCGGGCTAAATTCACACAACCGGCTTCAACCAAGGACACATTCTCAGTCGTGTAGGCACGGTCAAGAGGCTTCCCAGCAACCACTTCTGGCCCACCACCATGCATTTTCAGGGCCCGAATTGTTGCAACAATAACAGCACACTGAGGAGTTAGACCACTATATCGGCACTTTATGTTCATGAACTTTTCAGTTCCAATATCAGAACCAAAACCTGCTTCTGTGACCACAAACCCACCTGGTCCCACCAACTTCAGTGCAATCTTATCAGCTACAATGGAAGAATTTCCATGGGCGATGTTTGCAAAAGGACCAGCATGAACAAGGACAGGAGTTCCTTCAAGGGTTTGCATTAAAGTAGGGTTGATAGCATCCTTCATCAGTACAGTCAAAGCACCTCCAAGACCAAGATCATCAGCTGTTACAGGGTCACCAGCCCTGCTATTTCCAATCACCATTTTACCAAGCCTCTCTCTCATATCAGCTAGAGATGTTGTGAGGGCCAAAACTGCCATTATCTCACTAGCAACAGATATATCAAATCCTGTTTCTCTCAACATCCCTTTTTCTTCAGGACCTTGGCCAATGGTAATCTTTCTCAAGAACCTGTCATTGACATCCATTACTCTCCTCCATGTTATGGAATCTGGGTCAATATCAAGCCTTGCAAATTTCTTTACTTCTTCTGGTGTGAGTTCCTCAGGCTTGGTCTTGGAGATACCAAGCTTCTTCAGACGCCGAAACATTATGTCACAAAAGCTTCGTTTTCCCTCTTTGTTTGGTGGGCATAAGCGGTTTAAAAGAGCCTTGTCTGATTGGGTAGACTCATGAAAAATCCGGGTATCAATAGCAGCTGCTAGGAGATTATTCGCAGCTGTTATTGCATGAATATCTCCCGTTAGGTGAAGATTGAATTCATCCATTGGAATTACTTGACTATAACCACCACCTGCTGCACCCCCTTTTATTCCAAAAGTAGGTCCTTGTGATGGTTGACGAAGGCAGGTGACAACCTAGCCTCAGAAACAGAGAGTTTTTCTATCATAAACAGAGGTACTTCTGGATTTATACATCCGCAAAATAATTTACACCAAAAAAGAAAATAAAACAAGGAAGAAACAGCACTGCCTACTGTAAAGACAAATTCACATCTAGTTTCCTAAACAACCTCATGACCAAAAGAAATCAAGAAAAAAGAAAGTTGTCATAGGGGAAAGAATTAAAATTGACTTTGGCAATGCAGCTATTTAGCAAGAGATCAGTTTCTTCAGTGGTTGACTGAAAGCTGCGGAGGAATTGTGGTAGCTTTCAAAAATGCAAATTTTGGGTGTCTCTTCTTGAGAAATTTGAAAGCCTGAGGCAACTTTACTGTTCTTTTCACCACTTCATTGCAAAGGAGTGCGAGGAAAACTTGCCAAATTTCTACCATAGCTTTATATATGCAGCTGTTTAACATAGGTGTACAAATACCAAATACCAGCAAATTGATGTATGTAAATGGTAATGGGATGTCTTAACTTATTAAAACTTTGAATAACAGAATGCAGGAAGTTTTCAATTTGACAGAGAACTTTTGGAGCTGATTTGTTATTTCTTCAATTATTTCTATACCACAGATACTATAATGCACTTTACTTGTTATCAGCCAGTCCAAAAACTCAGTATGGACTCTTGACTATGTCAATTAACAAAAATATGAATCATACTGATAGCTTGACACTAATGGAATGAAATTTAAAAAATTTATCTGCCCAGGTAAAACTCGACAACATTGACCTCACAAAACATGGACACTAAAGGAAAATGAAATGAGACCACTAAAAAGCAAGAAATGTAACAAAGCAAAAAGGCTACCTTTTTATCCAGAAATGCACCCAAAGCTTGACAGAGGCCAACAGTAGTAGTAGATTTTCCTTCTCCAAGTGGTGTAGGAGTAATCCCTCCAACCACCACATAGTACCCATCTCCTGATCCTTCAAGCTCATCAATCACAGACAATAAAACCTATAAACCACCCAACAAATCAATACTCTTGGCTTCTCCTATGAAAAAGAAAATCTAAAAACCCTTCAAGAAGATTGACACTTTTCCAGAATTTAATCCATGGAAACCAATCTTTTCAAAGAAAAAGATCTACACAAATCAAAATAGTCAACCAAAACAATCAAAAGAAAGCAAGAAAACAATCACTGCATAAAATATCAAAATCCCATCACAAAATAGCAAATAAGAGATCACCTTGGCTTTGTATTTTCCATAAAGATCATAATGGTTTGGACTAAGATTCAGCTCTTTAGCAATCTCTGCTATGTGAAAAGGTTCAACTAAGTTAGCAATGTCTATGTCTGCTGGAACTGGTGACACCACCTCCAACTTTCTCAACGTTTTTGATGCACTCATTGTGTTTTTTGTTTCAGTTCTGCAAATCTGAAACCAGAAATTTCAAATCTTTTATACCTGTAATCAACAAGCTTACACGAATATCATGATAGTGTTTTTTCAAGGACCAGTAGAGAGAAAGCATTTTACCAACGGAAAATTAGATTTAGTCCCTATAAGTCTAGCATATTTTTACTTTGGGTTATATAGTTTTGATTTATCAAATATTGATTTTAGAATTTCTGATTTTTTTAAATACAAGTATATTGAAAATTAAATAACTACGAAAATATAATTTATGTTTGGCTTTTTTTAATCATGTTTTAGATTTATTTTTTTTAGTGTTGCTTATTTTCTCTAACATATGCTTCTATATAAAATAAAATTCTATCAATATTCATAAAATAAAATAAAAATACTGAAAAAAAGAAAAAAATTAATGATGATGATGTCAAGATCTGTTTGGTTTAAAGATTTGATGATAGCAACAATGATGTTAATAAAAGAGCATTTGAGAAAGGTTTTTTTTTAATGATTGAAAAAGTTAAAGATATTAAAATTAAGAAAAAAAGCATTTAATAATTCATTAAAAATATTAAAAATTTATACAAATTTGCTCAAATTCGACATTTAAACATAGGATTCACATAGATTATATATACGGTTTCATTAAACCAAAATGGTAAAGTTTGGTTTTTAGATTTGGCATTAAAAAATCTAAACACCAAAATGATTTTTATTTCTAAAATTATATTTAACAAATGAGGATCATACAAAATCTTTTTGTAAAATTACGAATCATTGAGAACACTTAATAATGGTGAAATTTGGCTTTTGAACTTGGTATTAGAAATTTTTAATGCTAACATGATCCTCACTTTTAAAGGCACACTTAACAAATAAAGATCATCGTGATTTTTGTATTTTATTTTTTATTTTTTTTGTTTTTTCAAATTACGGGTTATTGAGAATATTAAAACTTTGCATATCGAAATGTAAATATTTTATAAATTGTAGGGTCTAAAATTAGCATTATCTTTTATTTATTAAACAAGTGGAGAGAGAGAAAGGGGGAGTGTTTTAAGGCACCTTGATTTACGTGTCCTGAAGACTTCCTTATCTGGCTAAGGCAGCAACGGAGGAAGTGGAGGAGCGTGGGGGCTGAGAGATTATAAAATAACAGCTCAATTTAAGGTTATGGTGCTTTGACTGGACAATAAATGGAGTGCTTTTGGCTCCCACATGAGATTTGATTGGAGCGGTGAGAGAACGGGCTGTGACTTTAGAACAACGTGACTTTATTGGCAGTGGATAATGATTTATTAATTGAAAAAACTACATCATAACTACATAAACTTTTAACCTTTTCACAATCTAATATATATTTTTTTTTCATTTTAGTATATTAATTTTTTCAAAAATATCAATAAATTTTTTTCATCTAATTTTTTATAAAAAAATAATATGATATTTAACAGAAAAGACTAAATTATTATATTTTATTCTTTTTCTCTTTCTAAATTATTATTATTGTTTAACTATTAATTTAAAAAAAACTACTAGCACACATGTACTTCACAAAGAAAAGATTCAAAATTGATGTACTTAATATATAATTTTTCTTTTATTAATTTGTAATGAAGATTTAAAAAAGCATGAATAAATTATAAATTAGTATATCAAGTTTTGAGAAACAAATTAACTAATTTATCTGTTTCAAATTATGCTGATCATCCTTAATTTAATAGCATTTTATTTTTTTAAAAAAAAATTCATCTCTCATTAATCTTTATATAATATATTTTTCTATTTTAAAAAAAAAGTCAAAAAATATAAAATAAACAAAAAAAAACTAAATAATTAATATATTCATTTCTCATCAATTTTTTATTTTATAGAATAAAAATAAAATAAATTGAAAAATAACATAGAATAGACAAAAAAGATTAAATAATTAATTTTTTTTTAAATGACTAATTTATAATTTACTCAAAAAAGGGATTGATGAAATTTTATTTACCTTATAGAAAGGATGGAGATGCGGGGTATCGATCCCCGTACCTCTCGCATGCTAAGCGAGCGCTCTACCATCTGAGCTACATCCCCATTTGCGATTCAAACTCGAAACGATTTTATACATAATACATAAGAATTGTGGAAACAGTTCAAATTGATTTTTATTTTGCAGTTAGTTTTAAGGTAAATCCTATTAATTAATTCATGATTAACAATATAAATCATATGTATTAAGTTAATTTTTTATATTTATGCATGGACATTTTTTTTTTCGATGCACATGTACATAAAACCTTGAAGGATACAATAAAAATAGTTTTTTTTTCCTTCATTACAGAACGATAGAAGAAAGGATTCAAACTTGTTTTATCAAAAGAAGTTATCGAATATATAACTATTGGACCAAACTTGCTACGTGTGATGATCTCGAACTCCCGTGTCCTGATTAAGAAGAAAAGGAACTAGATTTCTTGAAGGAAAAAGAAAAGTAACAGCACCTCTTGAAGCAATTTACTTGTGTCAATTTCATTCTCCTATCATATACATGATAAATAAGAAACACATGATTGGGACACGAGTAAAATCATACAGAAATTTCATTAAAAAAAATATAGGAATGTATATAAGTTGATTTGAGATGACGTAGAAATGTTACGAGGAGATATGCCTAAATTACCGACAGGAGGTTTTCGATATTTTCATTGATGGGCATTGCTCAGCTACCAGTCAACACTGAAGGTGAAGTGCCGTGGTCAGCTGCACCTTCAGCCCTTCTTGATGTTTCTGTGTTGAAAGAGGACAGTTCTTTGTGGACAGGATTTTAGCTCGCGAGGAGCTTGACCATGACCTGTACCTACATTAATTAAAATAGCAAATATTCCTGGTTTTAGTATTGAACTGAAAGAGCTTATATATGATGACCCTTAAGGTTAGAATTTTTGGTTATTTCCAGCTTTAAATATGCAAGAAATTGACAAGTCAATGACTCCTGTTGCAGAAGATGAATCTTGAAGCTAGTAGGCATTTGTAAAGGGATATTCTGCTTGCCATATTATGTCTAGCTTGCTATGTTCTAAGTTTAACGAAGATTCAGGTTGCTCCAATTCGGTGACAAATCTTCAGAATCCGAAAAGGCCTGCTTTACCTTTGATCTCTACATCCAAAACCTTCTCTCAGGAGTGTTCAGACAGGGATCACTGTCGACGAGATGATGCCGAAAACATTTTCTACCAAAAGTTATCTTGTAGAAGTTTTTTTGCTGCCAAGGAAGAAGAACAATCAATCCCTTACACACCAAGGAAGGGTCAAACTTGTAAGAAGATTCCTGTTACAGTAATCACTTCCGTCAAGCATACCAGGGTAAAGATTTGAATCTTATTTCACTTTCAAGTACAGATTATTGCCTTTGTGTCGGTGTAGAAAGCATCGATCCAGCACGACTACTGACCGATTTCGTTCATGCTTGATCTGTTTCTATGTTGACTTTAGGATTCAAATGGAAGAAAGATGATCAATGAGTACGTAAAAGAGAGGAAGATCAGCCAAGGAAGCTATGGTAAAGTGGTGAGCATATATATACACAATACACAAATTCCTTACATTTTACTGCTTGCATTCTGAATTTCTGTTTTACAGTAAGCTAAGAGCATATTCTGTGCAGATACTTTATCGAAACAGTAACAATGGAACCCCATATGCTATTAAGGTAAATACTGAATGATCCAGAATTTTACTTCTTCAAATATAGTTCTTTGATCGAAGAAGAAAAATCAACCCCAAAAAGATGTCATTCAATGATCATATTCTTTTGTTCATTGCTATGGATTCACTTTCTGTTACTACAGAATTTCTGTTCATGTGAACCCTACCTAGAAAGTTAGATGCCACCAGATTGATTTTTCTTCCTTAATATCTCAGACCGCAATGGACGATTTCTTGATTCCCTTACACATTCAGCACCTGAAATTAGATCGACTGTCCTTTGGATTAACAGTATTCCATTTTTTTTGTAGGTTGTTTGCAAGTCTCGTTTGCGCAAGTTGCGCGTCACGCAATCAGAAACAGCTATGATTGATGTTCTCAGAGAAGTAAGAAATTGTTTTTTATCAATTTATTTTCTTCTTGTTATTTATTTACCCTTTTCTTTTGGCCATGAAGTTGTGTTGTTGTATGTTTTGTTTCCATGTAATAACATTTGGATCTTTTCTTTTTCGGTAAGATTATTTAGGCCTTCCACATCTTGCAGTTACTCTCTTGAAGTAGACTACAGTTCTGGACTTGTAATAATTCAGACATCTATTATTCAGACCACCTCTTCAAACTTTTCATCAAAATGACCGAAGATGACATTCTTTTACCATACATTTTCTTTCCCAGAACACTGTTTCAGTAAAAAAATAATAATAATAATAATGGCTGGCCAATTGATGCATTCTGAATAGTTCACAACTTATTAGTCTTCTGAAACTGTGGATAATACCGACTCCTAAGTCCTAAACCTGGATCCTGTATCGTGCCGTGACCACTTTGTAGTGGTAAAGTTGATGATTTGAACTCTCTGTGTTTTCAGGTTTCCATATTGAAAACTTTGGAACATCCAAACATAATCAACCTAGTGGAGGTGATCGATGACCGAAAATCAGATTATCTGTATATGGGTATGGAATAAGGATAGCCTCTTCCATGTGTTCTGAATTTTTTTTTTTTTTTTTTCCAAAAATCTTACAAGGACTATGTTTTGATGCACTTCTGTCTCTCTTTTGGCACATGCTTGTTATTATCTAGTTCTTGAATATGTGGAAGGCAGTTCTATCAGCAAAATTTCAGAGACGAGAGGACGGATTGATGAAACAACTGCAAGAAGATATTTCAAGGATCTAATTGCTGGTATCATTTATTTGCATCACCATGTAAGTTACTTATTATGAAACAAATCTTTGAAAGATGCTCCCTCTCTCTTGAAACCATTTCCCTTTGTAGCAAAAGCTGAATCTTTATCGTTTATTTGAAGCAGAACATTGTGCATGGTGATATTAAGCCAGAAAATCTTTTGGTCACTACAAGTGGAAGGGTGAAGATAGTTGATTTCAGCTTTGGCCATGCCTTTGAGGTAATGCTATTCAAGAACTCCACTAATTCTTAATCTACAAATTTCCATTGGTGAAATTCCATCTAACGTGTATTAGACAATGGCAACACTAATCTGCAGACCTAACAAGCAACAGCTCCGGTCTTCATTTTTCAAGCTTCTTGTGCAGACCTACCGAAAACTTCTCTCTAATTTAGGAACTTTAATCTGCAGGATGACAATGATGAGTTATCTAGATCTCCTGGAACTCTACCTTTCACTGCACCAGAGTGTTGTTTAGGTATATTCACTGTTTCCATTAGCCCCGAGTTCCGATCATCGCCTATATTTATGTCTGGAATGCATATGAAAATCAAATTGAAAACAGCCTTTTCACATGCTTCCAGAATCCACATTTTCAGTAGCTAGATGTAGAGAACTTGGAGAAACTTTAAAAAGTGCAATGATTAAAATGAGTTATTTACTTTCCACGAAACGGAGAGTCCAATACTGTAGAATTATAAACAAGAATTCTTGAATTATACCAGATACAGTTTACCATGGAAAAGCTGCTGAAACATGGGCTGTGGGTGCTACCTTATATTTTATTGTGCTTGGCTGCTGCCCTTTTCTTGCTGACAGTGTACCTGAAACTTATGACAAGGTAATGTCCTCACTACCTTTTCTCTTCTGTGATTCTTTCTTTCAAGTCTATTAAACTGTTAGATACCTTTTGACAGATCGTTAATAGTCCTTTATCACTCCCGGAAGAATTAAATCCTGAGCTCAAAGATCTCCTCCAAGGCCTTCTCTGTAAAGGTATTGTATCCCTACAGTTCTACTTTTCTAGATCTACCAAGTACCAGGAAGTACTAGATTATCTTACAGAAGCTCATAAAGGACAGTCACTTCAAGTCCTTAGGTTTTAACAACCATTTGAGCTTCCTGCTGCCTGTTTTGAATGACTTTGCAATAATTTCTACTAGTCATGAAGTGTAAAAACTTGCCAATTTATTCTTTCTTTTTGCTATCTTATTACATGCAGATCCAATGCAAAGAATTACCTTGAACATTGCGGCTGAGCATCCATGGGTGGTCAAAGAGGGAGGTCCAGTCCCTGTAAACAGCTTATGCTGCTGCAGCAAGAATAGACGTTGACGCAGCCTAATGGGCCCAAGCAAATATTAACTCATAAGTACTGTAAATTTCTGAAATTATCTATTTATCTAATTATACAGCAATAAAAGCCTTAGTCAGTCCAGCTCGTAGTTCCAAATAACGATTGTTATTGAATAGATTCAGACATGTCTATTTCTGTATGAGCCCAAGCAAATATTAATTCATAAGTATCGTAAATTTCTGAAATTATCTATTTATTTATTTATTTACAAGCCAATGAAAGCCTTAGTCATACAACCGGTAGTTCCAAATAAAGGTTGTTATTTAATAGATTCAACATGTTTATTTTTGTTGTACGATATTATAAAAGTCCATTGACATTTCATTCAAACAATAGCAATAACGACATTATATAATATTAACAATTATTATTGCTATTATTTGATAAAATAACAATTATTATATTATTATTTAAATAAAAAGTATTTTTGATTTTTTATCTTAAAATAAATTAATTTATTAACAGTTATTAATGTATTTACGATATTATCTATTGTCATGTTTGTTATTTTATTATTACGATAAAACGAAATTGATAAGACGCAATTGTTGTTATAACTACATCTACGATATAAAACTATAATACAAATCAATTCAATTTAAAAAAGAAATCCACGATCATAGCATAGCTAATAACAGAAAATTATGTAATAGAACTAAGTACATAAATTACAATGCGATTTTCAACTAAGGATTAAATTTAAATTAAGATCCATAATGATCGAACTGGGTGGATGCTTTTGAACCCCTTGGTGATGGTGATGGATCAGTACTGCTGCCTAATGGTATGTCAGAAAGAGCATCCAAGAAAGCTCGAATGCTAAGAGAACGAGCAGGCTTGAAGCTGAATGATCTTGTTTTGTTCTTGGAGAAGACGTTTGAAGAATTTGAAAGTATTAGATAAACCAGTACTTGTACAAGCACAAACATGGCCACCTTGATCAAACACTCATCGAATGATGCCTCTATCTCCATTTCAAGAAATTTAGTCTGCTGATACTCCTCGATCCTATGTGTGATCAATCTGAATATGACAATGATGTTTATGGATGTAAGGATGCTGGTTATATAGAGAAGAACATGAAGGCCGGTTGCTTTGCTAGAGAAGCCACATTTGACTTGTGGTTGAAGCTATAGAAGTAATGAATTGACCACACGTCAAGAAATTTGAAAAGGAAGCTTCTGCCATATCCATAGCTGAATGGTTACTGGTTTCTTACAAGAAAAATATGACATAAAGCAGCCAAACCTTCCCTGAATTTTAATTTACTTTTAAATTGTATTTTAATCTTTCTGAGCTTTTCTTTCATTTTGATTTACTTCATCCTATGATTTCTAACTTTCACCTTTTTCCTCCAAAAAATTGAATTCTTGATATTTTGATTTGAATTTTTTGCGTGCTTATAAAGAAAAAATCAATTTATTTTTTAGAAAAATTTCAAAACTTTTTGAGGTCGGAAATTATATATATATTAACATAAAAACTGTAGAAAATAATTCGAAATGATCTCGAATTTTTTAAAAAGCCCTAGATAAATCTCATTAAATGATTTTCATCATAAAACTATTTATGTGATTGTTATTTTTTAAAATAAATGATAAAAAAAAGACTAAACTTAAAAAAAAAAGGCTAAAGAGGGTCAAAGCATAAATTAAAAATTTAAAAACTAATTTTTAAATGGATTAAAGTTCAGAAAACTTTTAGCCTTTGTGAGGTTATTTTCACGTGCCTTAATCATGCTTTATAGTCATTTAGGCCTAAAATTAAGTTCAAATTCGACCTAACAGAAATGATAAAGAAATGGCAAAGTTAAAACTAATTGTATAATTGGCCATGGAAGAAGAGAAAAGGTGAGGCTTGCTGAAACATGCGACCCAAAAGTGGGTAGGATAAGTTTGTTGCTGCAAGCTGTGACTTCCGTGGCATCTACGCATTATCTATAATTAAAGTGCATTGAAAAAACATGAAATAATCGTGAATTATACCAACCTATCATCATGCATGGAATTAATTCCACAAGCATTTCCATGAAAGGAACTTTCTCATAATAAACAATACTATAAACAAGGTAATTATGCTATATATATATATATATTTTTTTTTTTTTTTTTTTCAATCCAATAATGAATTTTATCTTCTTCTTTTTTTAATATATATTTTTAAAAAAATTTTCAATCAAATATTTCTATTGATTTTTTTATTAATTAATGACGTAAAATAAGACACTGGATTTTTCCGATAAATATTCGTAGCCAGAATTTTTGTTAAAAACTCTCAATTATCTAGGCCCTCGCATAACGAAAACTATAAAAGCTGCATCTTCCTGGACCGATGGTAGGCCCTGGTTGATTGGGCCTTTGGGCTTCATCTATGGATTTCGGCCTGGTCAACAAAAACTTTGACTTTTTAGCCTAAAACAAGAAAAAGAAAGATATACAATCGCTTTCTTAATGGCCGACGAATTAATTAATCTTTCTTATTCTAAAAATTAATTATTAGACTAATTATTTAAAAACTATAAGAAATGCATAAACTTGGGCCGATGGTTGGCCCTGATTGATTGGGCCTTTGGGCTTCATCTCTGAATTGGGCTTGGTCCATATAAACTTTGACTTTTTAGCTGAAAACAAGAAAAAAAAGACATATAATCGCTTAATGACTGACAAATTAATTAATATTTTTATTTTAAAAACTAATTATATAATTTTTTTTCCAGTGATATTATTAATTTAATATTATTTTGTTTTAAAAAATCTCTTCCTTTTTCATCAATCTGGCGTAATGACTGAATAAATTATTAATTAGTCCATTTAGTTTTTAGAGATGAATTAATAATTTTTTTTTCAAAAATCAATTATTTAGTCTTTTGAACATCATGTTTAATTTAATACTATTTTATTTTAAAAATTCTTATTTTCTCATTAATCCTTCCATGGTTTTTTACTATTTTTTTCTTTTTTGTATTTATTAAAAAAAGAATTGAAAAAGAATAAAAAGAATTAAGTTGTAAATTAAATTTAAAAATATAGACTGGTTAATGAGTTTACGAAATTAGAGAGACAATTTAATTTATTTTGAAAAAAAAACTAGAAGGACTCATTTATAATTTACTCAACGCATGATGACTCAACATTTTCCTTAAAAAAACCCACAACACTGGATTTTTCCGATAAATATTCGTAGCTTAAATCTCTGTCAAAAACTCTTAATTGTCTAGAATTCTCGTCTAACAAAAACTATAAGAAATGCATCAACCTGGGCCGATGGTTGGGCCTGATTGATTGAGCCTGTGGGCTTCATCTCCAGATTTGGGCTTGGTCCATATAAACTTTGACTTTTAGCTGAAAACAAGAAAAAGAAAGACATATAATAGGTTAATGGCTGAAGAATTAATTAATCTTTCTTTTTTACAAACTAATTATTTAATTATTTTAAAAACTAATTATTTAAAAACTATAAGAAATGCATCAACCTTGTTGGCCCTGATTGATTGGTCCTATGGGCTTCATCTCTAGATTTGGGCTTGGTCCATATAAACTTTGGTTTTAAGCTGAAAACAAGAAAATTAATGGCTGAGGAATTAATTAATCTTTCTTATTTTAAAAACCATAAGAAATGCATCAACCTGGGCCGATGGTTGGCCATGATTGATTGGGCCTTTGGGCTTCATCTCTAGATTTGCGCTTGGTCAATATAAACTTTGACTTTTTAGCTGAAAACAAGAAAAAGAAAGACATATAATCGCTTAATGACTGACGAATTAATTAATCTTTTTTATTTTAAAAACTAACTATAGAATTTATTTTACCAGTGTTAATTATTAATTTAATATTATTTTTTAAAAAAAATTTCTTTTTATCTTATCAATCTTTCGATATTTTTTACTTGTTTTTCTTCTTTTTTCCTATTTATTAGAACAAAAAAATATAATTAATTGAAAAGGAATGAGAAAGATTAACTTACAGATATATTTAAAAATATAATATAAGGATTAGTTAATTAGTTATTGAATCTAGAGAGACTATTTAATTTATTTTGAAAAAAATAGAGGGACTAATTTATAATTTACTCAGTCTGGCTTGATGACTCAGTATTTTCCTTAAAAAAAAAAAAAAAAAAAAAAAAAAAAAAAAAACCCCACAACTGAAAAATTAATAAGCCATAAAGCATGTGGAACGGGACTCTACAATAATTTTCAATATTAAAAACCTACTAACTTTGCTTTGTTTAAACCCCCAAATCCATACGCTAATTTCTCATTTTCCTACTTAGATCTCCTAGCTATCAACCATTCAAAAACTTTTCTTTTTTTTTTTTCATTTTGCTTTGGATTCCTTGGATTTTGATGACACACATTTATTACTTCCTTAATCGCACCAGCACGAGTCTGAATCCAACAAAGTTGATTTTAGTGTCAAAAGCCCAAAACAACTTTTTTCTGCTTTTGGTCTTTTGACCTTTCACCCACGAAACAATAAACGTTCATTAGCCACTAAATCTACCTGGACAATCCCGAGACAGAAATATGAAAAACAATTACATCTGCATTCATTAAAGGAGTTAAAAAATTTTCACGTTTACTCTTTTTTTTTTTTTTCTTTTCCTAAAATTTGTCGAAAATCTCAGCCTACATGATTACCACCACCTACCTCTCCACTCTTTTATTTCAAACGTTTAACGGTCTGATCCCACCTGAAATCAATCAAAAAATTTATTAAAAACGTTGAGTGGAAGGAGATGTCACCTTCACAATGGGAAATCCAAAGCTTGGAGAAGAAATGGGCCACCACGATCTGTCTCCATTTGAAGACCGGACAGATCCCATTAATAAATAAGTAAAAGACAACCGAAAATAATATAATATAAAGTTCTAGACATGCAAAGCTGTATCCATTTCCCTCCTTTGCTTCTATCTCTAGATATACTTGTCATTCAATCAATGAATGAAATTTATAGTCACATACAATATATCTTATTATTTTTTTTATTATTCTCAAACAACTATTTGTTGAAAAGCTAGGTAAATCATATTATTCTTAAACTTTAAGTCATTTAAAATTAAATTTTAAAAATTAGTACTTGTTATCTGAAAAAAAAAAACATTTTTTTAAGAGTAGTGGTATGATTGACAGATTTTAAATTTTAAATTTTTAAAAATTTAGTTCATTTAATAACTTTTCAGCTATCATTTTTTCCTTTTAAAAAAATAATTCTTAGAATTTGAAATAAGTTTTTTCATACACATTGAAAAAAAATTCAATCCATTATTTTAAAAAAAATTCTAGAATTTGTCAACATCAAAAAGTATATGTTTTTATATATTTTTTGAACAGTAAAATTAAAAGAAAATAACACGGAACGATTTTAAAGTTTTTGAGAAATTTATATAAATTTATCATAGAATTATTTATTTGTTCGTTACTTTTTTAGAAAAACGACATAAAATTGAAGAATTGACTACTTTTAAAAAAAAAATTCAGGGATCTTATAAATAAAATTTCAAATGAGTTAAGTTTATCATTTAACCTTTTAAATTAATATAAAAAATTATATGTTGATTAATATTTAATGAACTATTAATTGAGAATAAATCTTGTGCAAAGGTGTTATGACAAAAGCTAAGCACGTCAAGATAGATGGATGTTTGACTCGTGTGTCTTGCAGTTTGGTTAGGATCATTTTTTCAGACACGCAATTGCCGGGGCCAATAATCCCGCTCATGGTGACACGTCACCAGCTTCTTCGTTACATGTCTTTTTAATTTATTTCTCGGTGTCAAATGTTTAGCAATTATTGGAAGGGTAAAGTGGATTGAATTTTCAAGATTTTGGACTTGAAAGTCTTCTTATCTGGGGTGGCACCGGTATTAGGCCTGTTTGCACTGCGTGTTCTCTATTTCATCCCCTTTGTTGATTGTTTATCAAGTTTAGGGCTGAAATTCTCATCAGGGTGTTGCAGTTCTTGGTTAGATTTTGCTACTTTTTTACTTATTTTTGTTCATTGATGTTGGTTTCTCAACTTCAATTAACCTTTGTTGCTTTCTTTGTTTCGCTTGGTTTTGTCAATTTTATGAGTGGGAATGTGTATTTTGGTTGAACATATGAACTGGATTTGGCTTAGATTGACTGCTGACTTGCTTGTTTGGAGTCGGAGATGGTAGTTCAGTCTTAGTTTTCATCTGGGTAGTCTTTGTTCTTCCTGGAATTTGCTTGAAAATATGGAATTGACCCCGTGTTGGAATGCTAGATTTGGTGATAACTCTGCCATTTCTTCCTTTCATTTTGAAATTAAACAGTTGAGTACCACAGTGATATTATAGATATTCTTGCTTTGTGATATTTTTTCCTTTGCTTAAATGTTAAAAAACGATCTTTTGTTTAAGCTATCCAATTGCTTGATCAAGCGATTGTTTCGATGACAGTGATATCGAGATAGTTGTGCAAATAGCAGTGGCTATTTAACAATTATTTTGTACCTGAAACTGATCTTTCCTAGTTAAAGATGCAATGATATAGAGATATATCAGTCTTGCCAAGTATTTTCGATTGCTATTGTGTTTTAGGGTTTTCTGTTGTTTTTCTTGATTTTCGGTCCTTACTGGAAATCCAAGCTACTGCCTAATCATTTAAGGATGCAGATTAATTAGCATAGAATTCCGGAATATTAACTTGCAGAAAAAGTTGATTTTATTGTAATTATGTTTAACAGGATTGTGACAATTGAGGGAAGATATACAGTTGTGTTCCTCCTGATATAGAGATAACGACGGTTTACTAGCACTGACAATTGAGGGGAGAAGTAACACAATGGCCCCAGGAGGCATCATCTACAAGGAAGAGATCGAGCCACGCATTGCATATTTGGATTATGATACAGGCCATACGGCAACTTCTAATGCTGATTTAAGAGGCTCCCCTTTCAGAAATCTGGGAAAACAATCGAGTAGTAACGTGCAAGACCTTCTTGAATGTCCTGTTTGCTTCACTATAATGTATCCTCCAATTTTCCAGGTATGCTCCTATCAAAATATTATGCCAATTGATCATAACCGTAGCACTTGTAACACGAGAAATTTCCAATTCTATATTATTGTGATGACAAATTTACTAATATTCTATATATTTCAGTGCCCAAATGGCCACACTCTATGTTCACAATGCAGGGCGAGAGTAAAGAACGCTTGTCCAATTTGCCGTGGAGAGCTAGGAACTATAAGGTGCTTGGCTCTGGAAAAAATTGCCGAGTCAATAGAACTCCCTTGCAAATACCAAAGTATGGGATGTTGTGACATATTTCCCTACTACAGCAAGCCAAAGCATGAAAAGAACTGTAAACATCGTCCATACAATTGCCCATATGCTGGAGCTGAATGTTCTATCACTGGTGACATCCCACTCCTCATCAAGCATCTCAAGAATGATCACAAGGTTGACATGCATGATGGATGCACCTTCAATCACAGATATGTCAAGTCTGATCCCCGAGAAATCGACAACGCCACATGGATGTTAACTGTAAGTTCTCTCTAAATTTATATAATCTGATTTTCTTGTGTGATCAAGCTGATGAAACTAGTAACGATTGGCAAATCTGAATGATGAGGCTAGTAACTCTGAAAACTTTCTAGGATTGCAACAGCTCATTCCCTTTTCATCATTTGTTTCTCCAATAAACTCATTTTCTAAAAAACTATTTTTTGTGCTATAATTATGAGCAAAGTTATCAGAAACCATGGAATTGTTCAGCATTGTCTGCCCTTTTTTTCTGTCTCCCAACATGCTACCAACTGGTAGAGCAGTAGATGCTAAACATGTTCTTCGTGCTCCTTTTTGTATGAACTGCACTTTGATCTGTAAATCCTAATGGTCTCTTTCTTCGACAGGTTTTTAATTGTTTCGGCCGACAGTTTTGCTTGCACTTTGAGACTTTTCTTATAGGAATGTCACCTGTTTACATGGCCTTCCTGAGATTCATGGGTACTGAAGACGAAGCAAGGGAATTTAGTTATAGTATTGAAGTTGGTGGAAATGGCAGAAAGCTTACATGGCAAGGAGTTCCCAGAAGTATAAGGGATAGCCATCAGAAAGTTAGAGACAGCCAAGATGGACTGATCATTCAGAGAAACTTGGCACTTTTCTTCTCCGGAGGGGATCGGCAGGAGTTAAAACTGAAAGTTTCCGGACGGATATGGAAAGAACAGTGAGACATAGCATAGAAACTTACCGTACCTGGAAAATAAATGGAAGATAGGAAATTTATATGCACTGTAAAAAAAGTAGCATAACTTGCTCACAATCAACTTTATCTATATTGACAGTTTCGATGGAATTTATGTTAGTTTTTTCATTCTGGGGTGGTGCGAAAATTGTTGAGGGATAGGGTTATATTTATGTGCTCGATCTGGCACCAAGAAGCTTGCTCAAAGCTTCATTCATTAAAAGATGGAACAAACCTTGCTCAAGCAAAACTCAAATACCCTACCATTTCTGATTTCTGATCAAAGATAACAAGGGATCCATCCAAATGGCTAGATGGAGTCATAAAAAATGACTTTTGTGATATCTGCAACATTTATTTTGCTCAGATTGGAACTTCAAACCCAAAAATTGGCCACATCCTGGATTTGAGGCCCGGATTTGGCATTCAAATGGGAAATTGGCTGTAAAATATAAGCCTGGGATCAAAAGCAACTTAAATCCTCTATCCTCTACTTTAGATAGACTAAGAACTCATAGAATTTAAGACTAAGGGATTAAGACCAGGTCGATCCTATTACAATCTGCACCTATTTTGCCAATCTAGAAAAGATGATCACACAAAAAGAAAAATGTTTTAAGAAATACCCATAATGCTTGGTGAGATTTTACTTAAGTTTGTTTCCACTTTATCTTTATTGTCATGTTTTTTTTTAAAAAAAAAAAAAAGTTCTCCATTTTCTTCCTAAAAAGTACTCTAAATCATTAAAGCAAAATCTAAAGATTAGATTTAATGGTAAAAAAAAGTCGTTAATTTTCTAAGTTCAAATTTTAAATCAGAATGTAGAGAATTTTATACAAAATATACCATGTCCATGTGGAAAGCATATTTTTTTATATTGAATTAAAATAGAATTTAATTTTCATTTATATACAAATTGATTCGAAAATATTTTTTATATTGCATTAAAATAGAATTTAATTTTCATTGATGTACAAATTGATTCGAAAATAAGAATCAAATTATTAAAAAAAAAAAAGTTAAAAAAGAAAGAAAGCAAAATCTAACTAAGTCACTAAGTTAAACAAACGACGCCGTTTAGGTTCACTTCGGTGACCAACTTTAACCTCCAAAACCTCAGCGCATCCGCAGCTGCTAAAACCCTAAACCCTCTCACCACCACCAAAAACCACAGAGAAATGATCATAGCTAGAAACCTCTCTGCTTCAAAAACAAAACTCCAGCCTCTCTCATCTCTCTACTTTCTTGCTCAATCACCGTTAACACCATCAAAACCCCATAATTACTATTATAATTTATACACCCAAAACCCCACCAAAACGAATTGTTTTTTCTCTTCAAAACCCACTAATTCAAACCCACCAAAGCACCAAACTTTCCTTTCTTTGCCTCTTACCCGAGATGGAAATTACGACGAGGCCACACCTCCGGCCACCGTCTGCCCTGGCTGTGGGGTCCACATGCAAGACGCAAACCCAAAACACCCTGGTTTCTACAAACAACCATCAATTAAAGATCCGGATTACAAGTCTGACACCAACTTAGTACCCATCTCGCTAGAGTCAGAATTTTCAAGTTCCCTTAAAAGGGGTTTGTTTGTTGAACCTGGTAAGCAAAAACCAGATCTTGATTTGACTGAAAATGAATCAGTTTTGGAGAAAAGGCCGCCTGTAGTGTGTGCTAGGTGTCACTCTTTGAGACATTATGGGAAAGTTAAGGACCCAACTGTGGAGAATTTGTTGCCTGATTTTGATTTTTATCATACAGTTGGTAAGCGTTTGGTTTCGAGTTCTGGAGCCCGGACTGTGGTTCTTTTGGTGGTTGATGCAGTGGATTTTGATGGGTCGTTTCCCAAAAGAGTGGCTAAGTTAGTTTCGGATTCGATTGAGGAAAAATTCACTGCTTGGAAAGAAGGGAAGTCAGGAAATGTGGCTAGGATTGTCCTTGTAGTTACTAAGCTTGATTTGTTGCCTAGTTCAGTGTCGCCGATAGGATTTGAATATTGGGTTAGGCGAAGAGCGAGGGAAGGTGGTGCTAGTGTGATAAAGAAAGTGCATTTTGTGAGTTCGGTGAGGAATTGGGGGTTGAAGAATTTGGTTGATGATGTGATTGAATTGGCAGGTGCTAGAGGTCATGTATGGGCTGTGGGGGCACAGAATGCAGGGAAGAGTACGCTGTTGAATGCAATGGCGAAGTGTGTTGGTGGCAAGGAAAGGAAGGTTAGTTATTTGACGGAGGCTCCTGTACCAGGAACAACGTTGGGGATTGTTAGGGTGGAAGGTGTTCTTCCAGGGCAGGCAAAGTTATTTGACACTCCGGGGCTTTTGAATCCACGGCAGATTACGACAAGGTTGAATAGGGAGGAGCAGAGGCTTGTGCATATCAGCAAGGAGTTGAAACCTAGGACTTACAGAATCAAGGTTAGTTCGCTTGAATTAAGACCAATTATGGATGAATTGGTGATCAAGTACGCTTTTCGTAAGGCTTGTGAAAACATTACTCACTTCAGATTATCGGTTCATATACAGGCTAAAGAACGTCAATTATGATTGACTTATATCATAAAAAATCATGACTATTTGATTTTAGCTTGTATGCATATGGCTCATGTTAGTATCATTTTATTGTGACAGGAGGGTGATTCAATTCATATTGGTGGACTCATGAGGCTGGATATTGACGAATTATCAGTAGATTCTCTATATGTCACAGTGTGGGCATCTCCATATCTTCCATTACATATGGGCAAAACGGAAAATGTAAGCACCATGGTAGAAGACCATTTTGGTCGTCAGTTACAGGTACGGTCTTTGTTAATAAAAGATCAGTTTTTATTTTTTCTATTTTTTTTCTCTTGGTTTTGCTTTTTGAAGACCTGTTTATTGGGTGAAGTTCTATGTTTATGGCACAATGAATGAGTACACTATGTGACTAACTATTCAAACTAGACTCTCTTCCTTTCCATTCACAGTTGATATTTTGAGGTACTGCCAGAGAAAAATTTTGAATGCAAAATTGGACAAGATATTTGAATCATGATGCCTTAAGCTGTAGACATGTCCCTGACTCTAGCCAAAATTATTGAGGGTCCAAAAAAGTGTTTGTAGCTGTGGTGCGTACAAAATTCATATGATAGGCCTGAGACTAGTAAAAAGATATTCATTTTGTTAATATTCTCTGATCAAGTTGCATGATATATAATGTATGCTTGTTGGCTTTCTTTTCCTTTGGTCCTTGTTCAGCCTCCAATTGGGGATAAGCGAGTCAAAGAGCTTGGAAAATGGGTGAGACAGGAATTCCGTCTCTCTGGGAACAGCTGGGATTCAAGTTCTGTAGATGTTGCTGCTGCTGGTCTTGGTTGGTTTAGTATTGGACTCAAAGGAGAGGCAATCTTGGGTGTTTGGACATACGAAGGAGTTGATGTTGTTCTTCGCAATGCTTTAATTCCTAATAGAGCTCATACTTTTGAAGTAACAGGATTTACTGTGTCGAAAATTGTCTCGAAGGCTGACCAGGCTTTGAATAAATCTCTGAGCCAAAGTGAAAAGGAGAGGAAACAAAGTAACCAAGAAGTAGCTGCACCGGCTGAATCATTAATATCAGCATTTAATACAGATGCAAATCCTTGCTAGTATTTCAGATTCGTAGAAGAAAAGGAGGAGGAATATTTTAAATTGTTGCTGAGTTGGTGATTGACCAACAAGTGAGGGTAGAAATTAAACAACTGTAAACCTTTTTCAGGAGATGAAGGAAATAGCTGGCAACACGCACCAGCTGTAGAAGGAAGATAATAAATTTTTGTGCTTCCTTTATCAACTAAAATCTTTCAAGGACCGGTTTGGGAATGAGGCTTATTCCCTTTTCGAACCAAATTTTTTGGAGGATCAGTTGGGAATGAGGCTTATTTTGTTGTCCCCAAGAAACATGGATACAAAGGCTTCATCTGTTTAGGAACTAGGAAGTTTCTTTGTCCACTAAAATTAATCAACCGGCCCTGACAGGTGACCCCAAAGTTTTAATTTCGATATTGTATATTGTAATCTCACTTTCTATAGCCTAGCTTATTTGCAGAATGCAGATGTTATTTCAGCTATTAGCATGTAATCGCTATAGTGATGAGAATTTGTATCTGAGGCAAATGTAAGGATTACCTTCCCTTTTCATATATTTGCCTATCACTTTCTTTTTGCAATGATTTGGGTCTAATAATTGAACAATAAGTGGGATTTGGAGGACAGGATTTTTTATGTTTTCAGGGAAAGGCAACATCTGTGCTGACGGCTGACCAACCGGCAAATTCAGACATAGCTGGGGGTCAGAGACCTGAGTTCTCAGATACATCCTATAAGAGGATGTTGCTGTTGCCTGTCTGCACCACATAATTTTAAAATCAGTATCTCAATTTCAATATTTTTTACAATCTGAGTGCCTCAATTTTATTTTTTTCCAAATGGGTGTACTGATTTATAAAAATCTAACAATGGAGTGAACTTTTGGATTTATAAAAAGATAAAGGAATGACTGCAATCACTAACTCTTTTTTTTTTTTTTCTTCTTTTTGGGTTCAGGGAGACTGTTTTCCATTGATAATTAGTTAAAGGTCTCAACCTCCTTATGATCATAAGAAGACATAGCTCTGTTCTACACTGACCAACAGTACACACGGCGAGACCTCCTCTCTATTTAATGGGCTCAAAGAAAAACGCAAAGTCAACAGAAAAGATTTACCACAAAAAACAACAGAGAGGGAAAGAGAGATCCCTCAGCCACACGAAGTGGCCCAGAGAGAGAGAGAGAGACACCCGTCATCAATAACAAGTGGCCAAAAATTCTGCCTGTACTTATGAGGAACGGAACGAATGGCTAAAAGAACAAGAATCTTTATGCCATCCAATGGACAACTATTTTGTTTTGTATCAGAAAATTAAATATTTCATTAAAAACTTTAATAGCGAGATAGAAATTGATGTAAGAATTCTCTCTTTTGCTTTAAATTCTTTAAACATCCACCTAGCTAGCTACCCCACTCCTTTGCAAGAAGAATTTCAATGGCGTGGATAACAAATACACACAAAAAAGTAATAATAAATAAATAAATAAAATTGATATAAGGATAATTATATATTAGTCCCTCTAGTTTTTTCTAAACGAATTAAATAGTATTTCTAGTTTTAAAAACAAATTGATTAGTTTTTATATTTTTAAATTTACTTGTAACTTAATTTTATTTCATTTTGTTAATTTTTAATTTTTTTATTTTTTATTTAAAAATAAGTTAAAAATATATTAAAAAAAGATGAGAAAATAAAAAAAAATTGAACAAGAAATATTAAATTAATCGTGATCACCACTGATCAATAGATTAAATAATTAATTTTGAAACAAAATGAACTAATTTATTTATTTATCAAAACTAGAGGGACTAATTTATAATTTACTCAATGGCATGGATCTCAAATACACACAAAATTAGTAATAAATAAATAAATAAAATTGATATAAGGTCAATGAGATGGCATTTCATGCCATGTTATCTCAACAATTCTATATTTGAGAAACCAATGAATCACACAATAAAAAGGCATTTGTTTGTCTTCTTTTTTTTTTTTTTTTAATAAAATGAGTGAACTGGAAAGTTTGTTTGTGATTGTTGAAAGAGTAAATTATAGATTAGTCCCTCTAGTTTTTTAAAATTAAATAAATAGTATTTCTAGTTTTGAAACCTAATTAATCAGTGTCTATATTTTAAAATCTATTTGTAATTTAATTAATTTATTTATTTATTTTTACTTTTTTAAGAAATAAGTAAAAAAAATGAGAAAATAATACATTTTTTAACAAAATAATATTAAATTAACCATGATAATCACTGATCAATAGATTAGATAATTAATTTTGAAACAAAATGAACTAATTTATTTGTTTTTCAAAACTAGAGGGATTGATTTGTAATTTAATTAAAGGCATGGATCACAAATACACGCAAGATTAATAATAATGAACAAATAATAAATAAATAAAATCGATATAAAGTCAATGAGATATCTCAACAGATCAATATCTGAGAAACTAGTGGATCATACAGTGAAAAGGCATTTCTGTTTTTTTTCGGTAAAAGGAGTGAACTCGCAAGTTTGGTTGTGATGGTTGGAAGAGTAAATTATAGATTAGTCCCTCTGGTTTTTTAAAACGAATTAAATAATATTTTTAGTTTTAAAAAATAATTAATTAGTCTCTATTATTTGAAATCTACTCTTAACTTAATTTTATTTATTTATTTTTATTTTTTATTAAAAACAAGTAAAAATATGAAAAATTGATGAAAAATAAGATATTTTTTGAACAAAATAATATTAAACTAATCATGATCACTACTCGACCAATAGATTAAATAATTAATTTTGAAACGAAGGAACTAATTTATTCATTTTTCAAAATTAAAGTGACTAATTTATAATTTACTCAAAAAGACATGGACCACAAATACATAAAAAATAATAATAATAATAAATAAAATTGATATAAGTTCAATGAGAAGGCATTTCATGCCATGTTATCTCAACAGTTCTATCTTTGAGAAACTAATGAATCACACAATGAAAAGGCATTTATTTTTATTTTTAGTAAAAGGAGTGAACTGGCAAGTTTGGCTGTGATTGCTGAAAGAGTAAATTATAGATTAGTCCCTCTAGTTTTTTGAAACGAATTAAATAATATTTCTAGTTTCAAAAACTAATTAATTATCTTATATTTTTAAATCTACTTGAAATTTAATCATTTTTTATTTATTTTGATTTTAAAAAAAATAATAAGAAAAAAATATGAAAAATTGATGAGAAAAATAAAATACCTTTTGAAATAAGATAATATCAAATTAATCACGATCAACACAATAAGATAATATTAAATTAATCACAATCAACATTGCTTAACATACTAAATAATTAATTTTTTAAAATAAAAAGAATCAATTAATTTATTTTTTAAAACCAGAGGGAATATTCTATAATTTATCCAATTAATCATACCATGAAAAGTCTCTTTTCTTAGCAAACAAGTTTGGTTGGGATTTTTGAAACACATCCATAAAGTAACATCAAAGGGTTCCTACTTCCTACCTCCAATCACGATTCATAAAGCCATAAATTGCGTAGGTCACCACTCACTCTGTCGCATGGGAATGTGGGATTTGTAGGTTCTTGGCTTCTGATTAGGCTATTTGCCTATTTGGTAAACAACCAGATTATATTTGTTGGAAAAGCCAACCTTCTGCTTTTTATATAACAAGGCAATCTGAGGTAGCTTTGTGATGAGATCTTAGAGTAATTAAAAATAGTTATTTCATAAGTTTATTAAAAAAAAAAATAGACGTAAAGAGGAGAGAGAAAATTATAACTGGACTCGTAAAAAATTATAAAAATATTTTTTATTAAGATTTAATTATTTAAAAAATATATATATATATTAAGTATTATTAGTTATTTATGAAGTAACATAAAATTTATCGTTTTATGATGGTAAAAAGTTACACATTTATATTATACATAGTTGAGACATTTATGTTGAAGAAATGTCTCAAGTTACTACAGTCATGAGTTAAATTATACGAAACTAATTATAAGGAATAGAGAAAATGATTCCTTAAAACATGTCATTCATTCATTATTGTTATTGTTGTTTTGAGAAAGCATGGATTTGATATCATAGCACTTGAGTATGAGAGAAAAAAAGAGAGGATAAATATATAAATTTATTTTTATGTAATGCTTAAAAGTTTTTCATCCGTTATTAGATTTCTAATAATATCTTATTTATCTATTAAAGTATTTAAAATGTTTAATTTATCATTTCGATCTCTACTATGTGAATTTTTTTCAACCAAAAGGCCTCTAATTAAAATGCAAAAATAAAAATGAAATAAATTCTAAAGACTTTAAAAAATGAAAAAATACGAAGTCGTGTGACTGTAAGTGTTTTTTTTTTTTACATTTTAGTAAAGAGCATTTTTTTTTATGGTTGAAAACATTAATTGGAAATATAGATTGAACATTTCAAAAAATTTTAAAAATACATTGAAGATTTTGAATATTATAAAGGGAAGTTGTGATTATTCAATGGGTCATTAAGAATATTATTCATATTGAATAGTATTATTTATCCTCTTGATTTACTGAAATACTAAATAATAGCATTGAAATTAATGTTTAATACACAAATTATACGCAAGTCAAATCCTTGGTTTATGGTTAACAAATAGTTATTGATTAAGAACCAGAGATTATACTCTTCATATACATGCAAAATGGATTATAATGATGATAACTATTCTATCTGTCCCATGATATTTTTTTTACACACAGTTTAAGAAATTTATTTATTATAATTCCATATAAGTATTATTTATTTTTATTATTATTATTTTTTTGTTCAAAAGAAAATCTATTCAATTTGATTCAGCATTACAAAATAAGGATATATATTTTTTTTAAATACAGTATTAAAAACTTTGGCTGGATAAATATTTTGCGACATATATAAATAAAAAAGGTTTTTGTAATGAAGAATTATTGTCAAGTTGCCGAAACATGCATTAAAAAAAATCCAAGTGTTAATGCTTGAGCTACAGTTTTTAAGCAATAAATCAACTGATCTCACATACAATGTTCTGAATTTCCACCTAATTTTATTTAATATTCTAAACCATAGATAAGATCTGCAGAATATCTATTAGTTTACGTTGCAGTTAATAATTTATCTATCCTTATATAATAAAATAATTCTTCTAACTTTATATTTTTAATTAAATTAAATTTTTCTTATAAATAACTTTTTTTCCTATAGATGTAAGAAACCTATTGGGATTAATTTACTCTAAATTGCTTACATGGTCTTTGCGTTATTCTAACCAAGACTTCATGATTTTTTTTTTTTTTTTTTTTTTCAGAAAAAGTGGTCACACAGACTGGCAAAAACTAGTAGTATATGGCAAAGACCTCTTGGTATGAAGTGATTGATTTTAAAAAATTTAAAAATTATTTTTGTCAGGATCCTCTTGTTTCTTATTGTTTTGAACCAAAAGGGTAAAAGTAAATTGATTTTTGTTTTAAGCTTTGGTGTCTGAAAGCGATAGCCTTAGTACTTTTATCTGCGACTCTCATAAGTCTCTTTCTTGAATCCTTGAATTTTTTGTGAATAAATAAGATGTCATTAGGAGGACTCTACTGACTTTTTTTTTTTTTAATAGTACAAGCAAAAAATATCCCATGTAGGAGTAAATTATAAATTATCCCATGTAGGAGTAAATTATAAATTAGTCCCTCTAGTTTTAATAACTAATTAATCAGTTCCTATGTTTTAAAAAATTATTTAGAACTCAATACTTGTCATTTTTTTCAATTTATTTATTTATTAATAAATATAAAATAGAAAAAAATAAAATAGAAGGACTGAAGCAAAAAAAAATTCGAAACAAAATAATATTAAAATAACCGTGGGTTAAAAAGTTTAATAATTAGTTTTTAAAACATGAGAGATTATTTATTTATTTATTTAAAACTAGAGGGACTAGTTTATAAATTACTCTCTCATCTACAGCGACTTTTGTTTTTCCCATTTATATATTTAGCAAATTGGTTTTCATGGGAATAACTTGTGCATATGGGTATGTCCCCCCAATCACCATATCTCGCTGTTTTGTACGGCCTCCATGCCATTAATCCAATAGAAAACATCCAATGATTTTATTATTATTTCATTAGATTCATCTGCTATTTCGTAAAACGTGATAGTAAATATAAAATATTGGTACATAGATTTCCATACTTTAAGAAATTTAATGGGATAAGATAAGTTTTTTTTCTCGTCCAGCATTAAAGTCAATACCAACAGACGTGGAGTAATTTATAAATTAGTCCCTTTAGTTTGAAAAAAATAAATGAATTAGTCCTTTTTAAAAAAACTAATTTTTTAGTTTCTAAATTTTACAATTTTCTTATAACTTCATTTTTTTCAATTTATTTTTTAAAAATATATTAAAAAAGGAACAAATAAGTAAAAATACTAAATAATAAATAAGAAACAAGATATTTTTAGAATAAATTAATATTAAATCAAACTTGATATGGACAAAAGATTAATTAATGTTTAAAATAAAAAGACTAATTAATTTATTTTAAAAAATAGAAGGACCAATTTGTAATTTACTCGTTTGCAGCATTCAATGGACACATTTATGAGTGTTGCATTAGAATTAATCCCAGTGTGGAAAACCATTAAAACCAAATCTATTTTTAAATTCAAACTTCAGAACTGATTTTTAAAAAATATAGTCAAACATTTTTTTCAAAGAAATTAATATATTTAAAATTATTGGACTCATCTGGTTATTTTTTCTGTAATATCTGTTAAATCTTAATTATTAAATGCCTAAACGAGTCAAACTAATTCTAAACTTTAAGCATTTGAGAACTGTTCTCTAAATTATAAAAATCAAAATTGACATGCTCTAACTTTAGCCTATTTGAAATTGAATATTTTTGTTAAATTTTATAGAATTCTATCCATTAATTAACTGTTAAAAATCACAAATTGTCTCTCAATTATTGAGATTTGAATGAATGGTGACTCTATTAGGCATTTATTCCAATAGAAGAGCGATAATTGGTGATTTTTAGTCATTAATTGTTGGATGAAATCTATAAATTTTAACAAAATGACCCAATTTTTAAATGAATCAAAATTACAAAAAGTAAATTCTGACTTTTTTAGTCTGGAGCACAGTTCTCAAATAACTTAAATTAAAAATAGATTTAACCCATTTGACTTTCTTTAATTTAAATCAAATAGACATAATGTAATATATAATAATAAAAAAAAACATACCAATTTAACTAATGTTGTTAATTTTTTTTCTTTCTGTAATCTAAATCATTAAATTCAAAATCAAACAATATTTGTAACATTAAGAATTAATGTTGTTAATTTTTAACTAATAGCCGGCGGAAGATAGGTATATTCAAAAAATCAGATGGTATCATGATTCATTTTTGTAGCATATCAAGTCCAAAAGGGGATCGGAATATATCATTACTTTAAGGAGAGATAACTATTGTCTACCTTTTTGTGTGTTTTTAAACATTAAAAGCAATTTTGGTCCTTGGACTTTCTAGATTATGACAACTCTGAACAAATCCATTTATTTCTCTATTAAATCTCAATTTGTTCAACAAAAGATAAGAAAGTCAAATAATGAACTTCGAATGTCCACTAAATTAAGAGTTAACAAAGAACTCAGATGAGATTTAGATCGAGAAATTACTAGATATGATACCATAATAAGTAAATTAAGATTCATGTGACCAAATGATGGAAGTGTAAAGAATTGATTGTAAAAATTGGTTGTCCAGGGGTTAATGTTTCAGAATCGTAAACTTCATGGACTAAAAACGACACTAGACCTTCCTCTCTTTTTTGCCTACTATTGTTTCATATTTGGTTAATAGATAATTGATGATTTTTGGATTTTTTATAATTACTTCAAAACATTATAATTATAAGTTCTTGGACTAAAAACGACATTAAACCATTTTTTGCGCTAATTATTGTTTCATGTATGGTAAATAGATAATTGATAATTTGGATTAATTACTTCAAAACGCTATAATTATGATTACAAATTCTTGAAGTAGCTAAAATATAAAAGCAAACTACTATTAGCTGTAAAAATAATAATAATAATAAATTCAACCGAAAACTTCAGACCTGTCAAAATTTCTAAGGGTTCCACGTGGCGATTGCCTCCACAAATCCCAACAAGAAAATAAAATTAAATAATTATTGTCTTTCCTAATCTTTAATTTAATAAAAAAATGGAGTCAGTAAAGACAAGACGGCTCTAAAATCGTTATCTCTCTCTTACAAATAAATATAGCCAGCTACCTTCCCTGTTTTTTTGCAAGAGACGGAGAGAAATTCAAGAACGGGGTCAAGGACTGGATCCGAATAATGGAGGATAATTCGGGTATTTTGAGTTCTAAAGAGCCATTGTTGAACGGCAATGAGAAGTGGAGAAAGGATGAACTGAGTCGAGTTAACTCGTACAACTCACTCAGGTCTGAGTTTTTATCGAGGTTGCCTGATAAGGTTCGCTCTGATTTTGATGTTGAGTCTTCTTTTCACGTTGATGTCTCTAAAGCAAAAGGGCTTAGCCAAGGTACGCAGCCTAGCTCTCCATTTTTCCTTTTTATTTAAAAATTTTGTTTGGTTGCTGGGAAATTTAAGAAAGTGAAGAAAGAGATGGAATTTATGTTGTTTTTTCATACAAAAGATGGATAAAATGTTAAAGGGTTGTTGTGTATGTGTTTGTTTTGTGTGAAAATGGTAAAAGTTTAGGACTTGTTTGATTACTGAGAAAGTGAAGGAAAGAAAAAAAGAATGGAATTTGTTATCCTTTTGTTGCTGTAGTGACTTTTGAGAGAAAAAGATATATGAAAAGGTACGAGGGTTATTGAATATGTCCGTTTTTATGCATAAAAAGGTAAAAAAGTGAGGATTTGTTTGGTTGCCTGGGAACTATAGAGAAAAGATGATTTTTTATCAAGTCTTGTTTGGTTTTGATTTATGCTCTTATAATTTTTTGGAAACCATTTAAAGATTAGTTTCTGTTTTACAGTGATTGAATTAGTGTCTGTTGTTATGGAATTTATAGATGAAAAGGAGTACTATGAAAGACAATTTGCAACCTTAAAATCGTTTAAGGAAGTTGATACTTTGATGACAACTGATACAATTGATGAAGAAGATGATCAAGAACAAGCAGAAGCTGAAAGGGCTATGAAGATCTCTAACTATGCCAACATTTTGCTTTTGTTGTTTAAGGTGAACTGACCAGTGCTTGTTTTTGAGTAAGATCTCAAAATTTTAGTTTTTAAGCTGCTAAGATTGATAATTTTGTAAATGTGCAGATATTTGCTACAGTAAGGACTGGATCAATAGCCATTGCTGCCTCGACGTTAGATTCTTTGCTTGATCTCATGGCTGGTGGGATACTTTGGTTCGCTCACCTATCCATGAAAAACATAAATATCTACAAGTATCCTATTGGAAAATTAAGGGTGCAGCCAGTGGGGATAATCATCTTTGCTGCTATCATGGCTACACTTGGTAATTTTTCTGTGCCTTATAACCTTTTCTTGTGGTCCATTGATTTTACTTCTGTCTATTGAATGTAAGTCAATAATTTATGCCAAGCAGAATATGAAAATTTAAACTAGATTGTATTGATAATTTTTTTTTCCATAAATTTGAACCTGAACCCAATTGTTTGTTTAGCTTCCTTTAATGAGCATAGAGTTTTGTGGAAGTAGAATTTTGGTAGCTGCGCACTCTCATGTCATGGAGTAAGTTGTCTGCTCCACAGCATTGGAAACCTCAGGGAAAGAAAAAATTGGCGTCAATTTTGCTTCTTTGAGTGTGGTTTGGATTCCTAACTCTCATTCTTCACAGGCTTTCAGATATTGATCCAAGCTGTTGAAGAACTAATTAAAAATGAACCGCTTCGAAAGTTTTCCTCAGATCAACTGTTATGGCTTTACATAATCATGATAACAGCTACTGTGGTGAAACTGGCACTTTGGATTTACTGTAGAAGCTCTGGAAACAGTATAGTTCGTGCCTATGCAAAGGTTTTTAGCTCTACTTTCTAAATGATCAGCTTTCTGTTATTAAGTTTCTAATTATCAGATTTTTAACTTAAATCAAATTCTGACATCCAGGATCACTATTTTGACGTGGTGACGAATGTGGTAGGATTAGTTGCAGCTGTTCTTGGGGATAAATACTACTGGTGGATTGACCCCGTTGGTGCTATTCTTCTTGCAGTTTACACAATTACAAATTGGTCCGGAACTGTTATTGAAAATGCAGGTATCACTTTTCATTCCTGGTTGTTTTGGAAGGAACCAGATAAAGTCATACACAGATAAGTTTATACGTGTCTGCCAGCATTTTAAGATAGGCTTCTTGGTGCAGTTACTCTTGTTGGGCAAACAGCTCCTCCCGAGGTCTTGCAGAAATTGACATATCTTGTCACAAGGCACCCTCAAGTCAAGCGTGTAGACACAGTCCGCGCTTATACCTTTGGTGTTCTTTATTTTGTAGAGGTAAGCATGCCATACCTAGTTGTAATTTACTATTGCTCATTGACTGAACTATCTTGCAAGAACGATCTTCCTCTCTTCTGATTTGAACACTGAATTTTTGGCTTGTGATGTCTCAATTTTCCTTGTTCAAATGTTGCAAGGCCTGCAGTAGGACATAAGTTTTGCTTTAGGATTAGCCTCGGTCATTAAATTGGAAAACCTTCGAACTGTCTTCCACCTATCGTTTGTAAAGTCAAAAGGCTTATCCATCAATCAATTGTTCAGGTGGGAAATTTTTTAAGTCTATATTATAGGTGTGACGTAACATCTGCAACTTGTGATGTTTAAAAAAGAAAGAATGAGCCAATAAAAATTTATCTTCTTTTCTTTCTCCCTTGAAACAGGTTGACATTGAACTTCCAGAAGAGCTGCCGCTAAAGGAAGCACACACTATTGGAGAGACATTGCAGAACAAGATCGAGAAACTCCCAGAAGTCGAGCGGGCATTTGTTCATCTTGATTTTGAATGCGAACACAAACCAGAGCACTCTGTTCTCAGCAGGTTACCCAACAGTTAGCCTCGGTCTATATGTAAACATATATAGATAACATCATGTGCAAATGCACCCACCGGATTGCTGTTGGTTTCATTTATTTCCTAAAATGTTACAAATTTGGGATCTAGTGTTTCACTTTCACTGTGAATCAGTTTATGTAGTTAGGAATTGAATGAAGTCTATACCAACAGGAGCGCTTTAGTCTTGTAATGAGGTACTTGCAGTGTATTATACACAGATTGCAACTATTTGTTTTCTTGAAAGGCAGTTAGAACCATAGTTTTAAATCGCGAACGGTTGAAAAAACAATCACTATCACAGATCGTTGTTTATTATAATATTAAAATAACAGCAACGGGATGTTTTAAAACCGTTACATAACGGTCATTATATAATGTACCGGTTGGTATTTAAAGCAATAGTTAGAACATACATAAATGTTAAGCTCTATATATAACTTTTCCATAAACTAAGTAATTTCCACCTACTATTAGACCTCATGGTGGCCATATCATTCGAATTGTCACTTGGGATCCTGACAATGAAACTTAGTAAGCTCGTATGTTTGCCTTAACTAACCAAATTCGTCCCCAAAGCTATAAATTTCAAAATTTATGTAAAGAATGAAAATATGAGGAGAAAAACGATATCTTATTATTGAAGGAAAGGACATGGGCATCAGAAAACCAACTACTTGCAGGAAAAGATGAATTGTCTGGACTCAAAACTTTCAAACAAAAATACAATTATGCACTGTCAATGTACTGTCAGTTATAAACTCAAACTCTGCATAAGTGTTCTCATATTTAAAGTGAAGATTCAAATGTTATTTTCTTCTCCTCTTTCGTTTGCGTTTGATTTGATTCAAGTTTTCTCTTCTTTTTTTCCAATTTTCTGGTTTTATTCTTCTGTTTCTTGACCATGTCACTTGGTACTCAATGTTTAGGTTCACATGAGGAGAAAAATTAAAAACAAACACTTTTGTGTTCTTGAAAGGCAGCTGGAACATACATGAAAGTTACTTTGTTGTTATACGTTTTAGGTTGACTTGCTTCGGCTCATGTTCCTAGCACTTTCCTTGTGCCATTTGATGCTTTGTGGTTTTTACTTTCTTCAAATAATACAAGCACAAACGTTTGTGATAGAACACGAAAGCCTACTTTCTTATAGGTACTTTTGTTTGGATTTGTCGTTAACATTCTTTACCGAACTTTCTCTCGGGTCAAACATTTTAGCTGGTCACTAGTTTTTTTACCTGGTTTATGTTGCGAATCAAATATAATATATAAAATTATTTTAATTTGAAGATTTGTGCTAAATTATAAATCTATCAAAATATATTGAAATATAATTTTTTTTAAAAAAAAATCCATCTAGTTTTATGATTTTTTTATTAAAATTTTATGTTTGACTAATTATTCATTATATTTTTTCAAAAATTATATGGAAAAAATATATAATTTATTCTTATTTGTTCGATTCTTAACTAAAAACTTATGGTGATCTAAAAATAAAATCTAAAACTTCATAGCTTTTTAACAAAAAATTTATGTCGTAAATTATTTTTTTCAAAAAATCTAATCCAAATTCTCTAAAAAAAATTTAATTTTTATTATATATATATATATATATATGCTATTATCATATAAAAATTCTAAGAGTCCATATAAATTATATAAATTTATTCTTTAAAAGAAAATAATCATGTTTTAAAATTTTATTTAAAAACCCATACACATAGAACAATAAATCATGTTTATCAATAAATAATATTTAAACAAAAGAAAAATTAATTGGATGGCAATCTCTATAAGAAATGAATTTTAAATAATAAAAATAATACAATCTAACATATATTTTTATTTTAAAATATGAACACATATTATATATATTTGTTTCTCGTCGGACTATGTGAGAAAAAAAATAGCATTCAATATTCCAGAATGTTCACCTAAAAATGTTTAGAAAAAAATTGAAAAAAAAATAGAAACCCAAACAATAACCCGACCTACATGCTCGGGCGTGGAGGAGCAAACCCTATCAAGAAAGTTTTTTTTTTTTAAGAAAAAACTACAATTTCTAGCGAGCTAGTGTTTGTCGAAAGCATTATTCGAAATTTGTGTTTTTTGGTTTCCGGCTTCTCCAAAGTCAAATTCTATCATAATTTTTTTTTCAAAAACAACTTAAAATCACAACTATAATGTAAAAAAAAAAAAAAAAAAAACTCTTTTAGAGCCTCAAAATTCATTTTTAATGCATGCAAAACACATAAAAATTCAAATCAAACTAAAAAAACTCAAAATATTTTCGGATCACGATCTACCTCCTCGAACCATTTCATGGCTTGTAAGCATCACCAAAAGATTTTATTCTTCAAGATGAACAAATTAGTGGTAATATCGATGATCGATGTGGCGAGAATGGCCATGGCTTTTCTCTCCCCTCCTCTCTTCTTCTCTCTCCTATAAGCATTCAAGAACCATATGACAATGCAAATAAAGTTTGGGATTGTTTTTTTTACTAAAAACATTAGAGACTACAAAGATACCAATAAACAGTAAAAATAAAGAGTAGAATTGAGTGATAATGAAGAGCGCAATTGGGTGTAATGAATTAGCATTTTCTTTTTAGTCTTTTGGTCAATAGAACTCTACAATCTACAATTATTTATTAGGCAAGTCAAGAATTAATTTTAATAGTTAATAGTTAATAGAACAGAATAAAAAAATTGCATTATTAGGATATATTGAATTTACAATCATTGTAAAAAATAAAAAATTTAATTCTAAACTAAACACCGTTAATAATTAATTACAACGCAAGCTAAATGTCTATTCATATGGTTGGATCAAGGGCACAATGGTTCCGAATTCCTCACCCATGCAACAACAATACAAATTAAATGATTCTTAAGTCATGACTATTATATATGTACATTGTTTGCAATCCAATAAAATATGAAAATTATTAACAACTATATATATATTACTTGTACTATTTTCATATCGTCGATGTGAATATAGTAATAGATAAATTATAAATTATTCCTTCTTGTTTTGAGAAATGAATTAATTAGTCATTTTGATTTTTAAAAAATAATTATTTAATTTTTTTAACCAAGGTGTCGACCACAATTTTTTTTATTCTCTAAAATGTCTTATTCTCTCATCAATCATTTTTATTTCTTAAAATAAAAGGTAAAAAAAATTGAAAACTAGCAAAAAAGATAAAAATATATATATATATATATAGTTTTTAAAATTAGATAGACTAATTAATTTGTTTCCTTAAGAAAGAGGGACTAATTTATAATTTACTCTTTGAGGCTCCTCTCCTCTCACCAAAATAAGGGGGGAAAAAAGGCAATCACATGAGCATTAAATGCTTGATCAAGAAAAAGAGAAAAACCAAGAAAAAAGGCTAAAAGAGAAATAAGAAAGAGAGAATCAGTCAAAGATAAATATAAAATTTTATAAATCTACTTAGTGACAATAAGAGTAATTAAATACAAAAAAGAAAGCCATTTATAGTGCAGAGTAAAAAGAAGAAGAGGAATGACAAAAAAGGCTAAGAAAGAAAATTAAAAAGAAAATCAATCAAAGGCGAATATGGATTTTCATAAATTGATTGAGTGGTAATTTGAGTAATTAAAGGTAAAAAAGAAGGTCTTTTGTAAAGCAAAATGCCAAAAGCAGAAAAAATCCATCTGCTGTAGTGTTTTTTTTGTAATTGATGAGCATTTGTTAAATTCAGATCTTTCTGCATCAAAGCTTTGGAACCCACATGAAATAAAAGCTCGATTATATACATATGCGATAGAATTTGATGTTGGACTATAGAGGGTTGATGGAAATAACAACGAAGCCCACTTTGGGGTCCATGACCCATTATCATGAGCAAGAGCCCAGGGTTCTAGCATAAATACTTTACTTATGGGGTATTTTTCTAAAGCATATGATGCTACTGATAAGGTCGAACTTTTTTTAGCCGTATCATCTTATCTCAGTATAATCGTTGACTAAACCGAAAAGGCAAGCATTTTCATGCTGCCTCTTTGTGCAAAATTTTATTCCAAAGATGAACCTCTATTTATAGATATTTCAGCTGGTATTGGAACCAGTTGTGTGGATTCAAATGGAGGGGAATTCAGGTTTTGGCCCCAAGACACGGTTGTTGATGGGTGAAGGAAGGAGAAGCAGGAGACTGAGCAGAAGGAATTCAGTGAACTCACTGAGGACTGATTTTGTAGCAAGATTACCTGATAAGGTCAGGTCTGGTCTGGATCTTGAGTCCCCTTATCAAATCCATTTCTCCAAAACAACAGGCCTAACAAAAGGTAATCAAGTCTTGTTATGTGAAACTTAATTATTCAAGATCGCAAATTTACTTGGTTCTTTATTTCAAGAACAGAGCTTTTTCACTTTTCGTACAAGTTTTTGAACTTTTTTGTTGGTTGAATCTTTTTCTAGGAGAAAAGGAATATTATGAAAGACAATTGGCTACATTGAAATCCTTTGAGGATGCAGATATTCTAGTGGGAAATGACAACAAAAATGAAGAGAGTGAAGACGATGAAGAACAGGCTCAACATGAAAAAGCAATGAAGATATCTAACTATGCAAACATAGTATTGCTAGCCTTTAAGGTACAGTTTTATCCCCATTTGTTTTTGGGTCTGTGTGATCAATTTCTTATTCCAAATTTTAAAGATGGAAATGTGCATAGGGTGCAGATATATGCTACTATAAAGACTGGATCTTTGGCAATTGCAGCATCGACCCTGGATTCTCTGCTTGATCTTATGGCCGGTGGCATTCTTTGGTTCACTCACTTGTCAATGAAAAACATAAATATTTATAAGTATCCGATTGGGAAATTGAGGGTGCAGCCAGTGGGGATAATTATCTTTGCTGCTGTCATGGCTACACTTGGTATGTTATCTAGTTGCAAAATGTTGAAGATCATATTTTTCTAGTTTCTCTTGCATCAGAACATGTTTTATTTCATCATCTAACCTGAAATCTTAGCAACTATAAGGGAGCTAAATGCTTTGCGAAATGTGATTTCTTCATTACGATTCATTCCTTACAGGGTTTCAGATATTGATCCAGGCCGTCGAACAACTAATTAAAGATGAACCTACTGAAAAAATGTCTTCTGATCAGTTATTGTGGTTATATGCAATTATGCTAACCGCGACGGGAGTGAAGCTAGCCCTTTGGGTTTATTGTAGAAGTTCAAGAAATGAGATTGTTCGTGCCTATGCGAAGGTTTTTTTTCTTGTCAAGCTTTGCGTCATTTAACTCTGGCCTTCTAATCATCAGTTCTAACTAAATCAAATGCCATGCCAATGCCAGGATCACTATTTCGATGTGGTAACAAACGTAGTAGGATTGATTGCAGCAGTTCTTGGCGATAAGTTCTACTGGTGGATTGACCCTGCAGGTGCCATTCTCCTTGCAGTTTACACGATTATAAATTGGTCTGGAACTGTTATGGAAAATGCAGGTAGCTTCTTCACCCATGTAGTTCTTGAATACACGAAGGTTTCTAACAATGCTGGCCCCTAACAATGCATGCACCTCTTTATGCAGTTTCACTTGTTGGAAAATCTGCACCTCCTGAATTCTTGCAGAAATTGACATATATTGTTATCAGAAACCCTCAAGTCAAGCGTATCGACACAATCCGAGCTTATGCCTTCGGTGTTCTTTATTTTGTAGAGGTTGTCATGCTATATGGAATTCTCTTACAGGTTTTTCTTATCATGTTCTTTGAAGTCAAACATTAACAGTTTTGTTCTATCTTGAAACAGGTAGATATTGAACTCCCGGAAGAACTGCCACTCAAGGAAGCACATGTTATCGGAGAGAACTTGCAGAATAAAATTGAAAAATTGACAGAGGTTGAGAGAGCATTTGTGCATCTTGATTTCGAATGTGAACATAAGCCAGAACATTCTGTACCCCACAGGCTGCCTAACATTGATCCTTGAATTTTGCGGTTCTTCCTATCCTTGCACTTATTATTCACCTCAAGCTTGTAGTATCAAATATTACTTTTGTGGCTTTTTTAAATTTATGTAGCTTTTGAATTGAAATAAGTACTTTGTATGAATAATTTTTATAAGTTTGAAGACTGCAAAAAGAAGGGCAAAGTAATATCAGACCAACAAGCATGAAGCCAAATTTTGGGGGTATAAAAGAAATTGACGAATAACCAAGAGGGTTGATTTGGTTGATTTGATTAGAAAAGGCTCTAGTTATTTAAATTAGTTTTTTCATCATTTTTTGTTAGATTAATGATGATCTTTTCTTTGATGCTTTATTTATTTTTAAATTTTATTTTCTGATAAATGTGATTTTATTTCTCTAGACTTTGGAGTTAAATTTTTAAACATGATCATCTTCTCCTAAAAAAAAATTAGGATGGTTTATATGATGAATTCTTAGGATTTTTCAAAGAGACTATATATATCACATAAATTAAAAAAATCTAAAAAACTAATTAAAAATTAAAAAAAAAATGAGAAAAGAAAAAAGAATTTCTCTGCGCGCGAGCTATTTACCAGAACCATGTATGGCCTAGGAACAGAAACCCGTTTGTTTGTTTTTTTTTAACATGGGACTCGCGGGTCGTATCTATACTACATGATAATAAAAAGCAAATTTTGGATAAATGACGTATAATTTGCTGCTACTTATGTGTTTCTTATATTAAAAATAATAATAGAAAAAAACTACGCAAAAATAAAAACTCACTCAAATCCAATAATCACTCTAAAAACTGAAACCATATTACTAAATATCAAATAAACAAATTGAATATACACACTTAATCAAACAAACCAAAGATGAAGCCAAAAGGGACGAGCTAGAGGCAAGGAGGGTTTAAATATCATACCCTAAAAATATAATATAAATCACTTAAATTCTACTTCTCGTTTTTATGAGCTAGAGGCAAGGAGGGCTTATATATCATACCCTAAAAATATAATATAAATCACTTAAATTCTACTTCCCGTTTTTATGAATAGCTTTGACTAACTTTCAGTATAGGAATTCTCCGCATCAATAGAATAACAATGAACAAAATTTACACTCTATTTGTAGGGTGCGCCAGGCCTTTGCAGTAGTGCCACGCATGGGCTACGCTTGAGGATCCCAGTAGCAAGCTACTGTGCTGGACCCTCCCCTTACAAAAAGTAATTTAATATCGTGTGGACCATTGGCCCACATATCAGATATTAAACTGATAAGAACAGATACTACACTTGATCTTAGCCAAAAGGCCGAGAAAGGTATGCTTGGCAACGTGGCTTGACTGGCATTTTATAGGTGCAGCTCTCAACATTCGCGTCTGGTTTACCGATGTGGGATAAAAACACCTACCTCTTTCTCCTTAGAAGCTTTGTTTCTTCGTATGTTTGTATCGAAACTTAATGTAGGAATTGCACTGGAAGGGATCTGGCTTGGTATTCAATTTGATAGCTTCCTTTTTAAGGACAGAGAAATTAAAAATCTGTGGAGTAATAAACTTTTTATGCATGCATTGTCAAATCCATGCCGAGATGCTTTGTTTGGTAATCGGTAATAGAGTGGTGGGAATGAGAATTAAAGTTTTATTCTCACATCAGTAATGTTTGTTTAAAATGAATGAAGTGAGAATGGGAATGAAGAGTGAAAATGAAAATGAAAATTTACACACAACTTCATTCCCATATAAAATGTAGGAATAAAAAACAAAGAATGGGAATGAATTTTTTTTAAAATAATAATATATTTTATTTATTTATTTAACTATTAACTACTTTTGCCACCATCACAACTACCACTACCACTAACACCACCATTACAACAACCATAACCACCACCACCACTATCTTCATCACCACCACCTTCACAACCACAATCACCACCACTATCATCACTATCATTACAACCATCACCACCACCATCACAATTATAACCACCACTACTATCACCGCAATCACTATCATAACCACCACCACCACCATTACCACTATAACCATTATCACTACTAACATCATCACAACTACTATTACCCCCACAACCATCATTATCACAATCATAACCACCATCACTATCGCAATCATTACCGCCAACGTCACCACCACCACCACTACTAGAACCACCATAATCACTACCATTACCTTTATTATTTTTATAACTATTATATTTTAATAAAATTATTATTTATATTTGTATACAAAATCGGATATTAAAAAATTTAAAATGCATTCCGATTCCTTATTAGTATTCAAAACACAGTATTGGAATACAAATACCATTCCGATTCCTTAATTTTCATTCCGATTCCCGCATTCTCATTCCCATCACTTTATTCCCGATTACCAAATAGCACTCGAGTGTACATGTAGAATCATATGTTTGGATCCTTTAGGTGTTAGAATGGAAATTAGAAATCCAAATAGTATTTTCATTTCAATAAGAAATTAAAATTAATTTTTAAAATAAATAAAAATAATTTCATTAATTATGATGATTAGTAAAAATAATAGAAATAATTATGGTGGTGATGATAATAATAATAGCTTAATAATATCAATAATATATATTAAAAGCAATTAAAACCATCGACATAAGGTGGTAGTAGAAAAAAGTGGTGATATTAGTATAATAAAAATGATAATGGTGGTAAAATAATAATAATAATAATTTTTTAATTCTTTTTATCACCAACATGAGAATGAAATTATGTTGAATTTTCATTATCATTTTAATTCTATTTCTTTCAAACTAAATACTTATAAAAAATAAATTTTTATTTTTATTTTTAACTTTTCATTCTTTATTACCAAACAATATTTTAATAGTCACGAAAGAGAAGCTAAAAACAAAATAGTTGGATTTATTTTTAGGATATACTAGTCACTTTCTCGCGCTACGCAACGAGTTCCGTAAAAAAATTATTAAAATTTTTTTTAATTATAGTTTTTTATTCGCTTAATTTTTGTAATTTTTTTTTAAATTTTCTACTTCAAAAACATAAATCATTCTCCTTTAAGGATTTATTTTAAAATAAAAAATATAATAATTTTAACTAAAATATTAATCAAGAATTAAAAAAATATATAATATAATTTTCATAATATTTTATTTCAAAAAATAAAGTTATAATTAATGGATAGCCTTTTACAAAAATTAACAAATGACAAAAAATTCTTATTTAATATTGAAGAAAAGATTAATCTTTGAAATTATCTACGCAACGCTACGGATAGATAGAACACCTAATTAAATAAAAAAACATAAATTTATGAAAATTATAAAAAGAACACCTAAGTAATATATATATATATATATATATATATATATATATATATATATATATATATATATATATATATATATATATATATATATAATAGTTAGTTTGTGTAAAAACAAAATAATGATTGATTTTTTAAAATTTTAACGCCTAATTAAATTTAAAAAAAAACATAAATTGATGAAAAAAACAAAGGAAAAAAACTATGTGTAGTGCATCGGTTAGGCAGATTAAAATTTTAGAGATCAAAATAAAAAAAAAAACCTAAATTGATGTAAAAAAAAAAAAAAGAAAAGGGGGAAAAAATATGTATGGTGAAAGTAAACTGAAAAAAAAAAAAAAAAACTTGCTTGTAAAATGTTGAAGAAAGGCCGGCAGAGAGGAAAAAATGAGTTAAACACTTTACTGTTTTAGAGGTAAAAAAAAAAAAACCAGTTGGAAAAACATTGTTCATTAAACAGTAAAAAAAAAAAAAAAACAATGAACATGAACAGTAGACACATGCTTGTGTTTTAGCGTATTTGTAATATATTCATAATATACATGGAGCAGAAACAACTAGGAGATAAATCTAAATCTGAGTGAAAAATGTAACATCTAACCCACAATCTGAAGAAATTAGAGTCTCCTCTTGTTATTTATATGTTAGGCAAGCACAAACTCATATCATATTGCTCCAGTATATTTGGATAAAACTTGTGCAGAACTCTGCTTTTCTGCTTCTTGAAGTCCTTTAATTTTCATTTCGATCTTTCAAAAACATTAAAAAAACAAAAACAAAATATATTCTTGGAAGAGGTTCATTCACATGAAGGATGACGAATTTGACGAGAGGTTCAGATTCAATATCCTTTCGTCCGAACCAAAATCCTTTTTTTTTTTTTTTTATAACTCACGCACCCAACACACACGTACACCTCGAAGGCTCCTAACAGAATTAGCATGCTAGGATTTGAGCCCGTTATCTTTTGCAAGAAACTACTACTCTTCTCTTTGGTAAATCCAAATCTTTTCTTCGAAAGGAAGCAGGCTCTCGACCTGAAACAACTAGGAGCCATATCTTTGGCGCTTCAGTGGATGATCAACGACTAATTTCGTTGTTAGCTTCTCTTTCAGCTTTTCCTCATGTTGCTGACACCCATTTCCACTACTCACTGGAACTAGGCTTTCCTTGTGAACAAGAAATCCTTCACCCCGAGCACACCCATGAAATCCAAGACCACTCATTTCTTGAATACTGGGATCCCATAAGATTAGTTCACCAGTGCCAGAAACCAGAATCAACTTATCGTTCTTCTAATGCCTGATCGGATACCTGACGTTTGAAACAGGACCAATAGAAATTTTTTTATCCAACACCTCTCATCGTTCAATGTCCAGATATGCAGAAACTTCTCTTCAGCATCAAACAAAGAAACGGAGTCATCGTACATTGCAAGACTCCTCAGAGTAAATGAGACGTCATTATCTGGTATCTGTATCTCTTGGCAGGTTTCTGTAGCCATGTCAAAAGAAAGGATCACTTCAGGACCTCCAAATTGTTCATATGATCCCAACCAGTAAAATACTCCATTCATACAAATGTAACATCTATTATTTTTCAAACGATAATAACGTGACAAATGTCCCCAGTGTCTCCAGGAATCAGTACCAGATGAGTACAAGAATACACACAGAGGATAGTCGTCTCCCCTTTCCTCCATTTTTGCACGCCGGCAATCTTTCACAACAACCACTGTATAATCTTTAGTTTCTGGGTTCAATCCAAAACCGTAAATATCATTGATTGGGTATGGGAGGTAAAGTTTTCAAATCATTGATTGCGGGGTTCCAAAGAGCACGAAATTTAGAGAAATGGTTCGTACATGTAAAATATTCCATCACAAGGACCATAAATATAGGGATTACGAATCGGCATAGTATCACGGTGGAGTAATCCATCACATAAAACTTCATGTTTCTCACCTACCAATTAAGAAATTAACAACAAACGAATTAAGAAAAGAAAATTATAGTGGAGAAAATAGAATTAAGAGTTAAAGCCGTCACGTCAAGCATGAAATAATTGCCTGATACCTTAATTTATATATATGAGCAAAAACCCAAATCAGAATCGACTCGCGTTATCACGTGCGTAACTTGAAAAAGGAAAGCTCAAGGATTTTATAGATCTTTTCTTTTTTGTAAAAAATCATATTCTGAGATCCTGTATGTGTATTAAATAAGCAAATTAAACCCTGTTTAAATAATTTGACAAATTCGATCCTCTACACGTTAAATTACCCAATTTGATCTAACTGACATCGATTCTTAATAAACATCCAAAAACTTCATCAAAAAGGGTAAAAAAAAGTGTTTTTTGAACCAAAATGAATATATTGTAGCAATATGTTCTACGCTTGTGACTTAACGAATCATTTTGTCCTTCGAGAATCCAAAAGGAATGAAAACTGTTTTATATCACTTCAGAATGAAAGAAAAATTTGAACAAAATGCTACAAATAGCTCATTTCAAATGCCAAATGAAAGCAAATTAATGATTTCATCCCATCTTTCATCTCAGAAAGAGAAGTGAAAAATACTCATTAGATCAATCATTATGCGCATTGATCAAATTACTCAACTTCACTCAGATGTCAACTTGTATGAAGTAAGATAGGAAAGAGCTTTCTTAAGTTCACTTCTCTACAAAAACGAGAAAAGATAGCTCGCACAGTCCATAAATCGAGAAAATGGTGATGCAACAGCATCATGTATACAAATCGAAGCTTTGATCACTTCTAAGGCTATTTGACTGAGAAAAGCTTCCCATGTGCCCTGTACTTGGAATAACATTCAGTCTATTTACCATTGCTAAGCTCCATTCGTCTTGATTAAGTATATCTGAACAAAATTTCCAGAACTGAAACATAATTATAGCATTCTAGTTAGAATGTATTCTTGGCCCCTCGATGAAATGAAGCATGTAATAAAGTACTGGTTGTTCATAGAATACAAGAAATGAAAATCTATCGAGGGAGTTGTAGAAAAGTACAAAACAATGACTTACTTAAGAACCAGGCAGTATCCGACCATTGTACATCTTATCAAGCAACTGCCGTGCATCAGGCCTCCTAAGAAGACCTTTGTTATTTGGTAAACCGGTACCTAAACAAACAGGACAAACAAGCTTCCCTCGACCTGCACAAGCCAAGCATTGGTTGTCATTTCTCATAGAAAACAAAACTGTAGGAATAAGAATTTTCATCATGTGACGATCTTTAATGTCAATTTAAGCATTTTTTGAAGCTATATAGCAGCATGACCAGTTTTTGCAAACAGAAAAAAATTGTTGCAGCGTGTGGATTTTTAAAAATATCGTCCTAAGAGAAGGTACAGGTACCTGCTACTTGATACTTGACTGTTAAATACTTTTCACATTTTGACATGTTCAACAGCACATATAGGTCCTCAAAGTATTGTTTGTAGACTTTCTAGGGAGCAATTTAGTTTCTTGAGAGGTTCTACCGATGAATAAGAGGGTGTGCTGTCTACTGCCTAAAAACTAAAGGGAGCAGTAAACTATATAAAATCTCAATTCTTATATGTAGCTTCTTTGCAACTCATGATGTTTAGGAGATTGGATAAGCAAAAAAGGCATCGCTTTTACAGATACGTTTAGTTATTCTACACCAATATGCAGTGGTTTCCAACATATTTTACTCAAAACTGGAAACCAACTGCTTGCCAAGATAACAAAATTTGAGAGTTTTGCTAAAACTTGTCTTTAGTTTGAGCGCAGTTTATCTTGCAACCTTGTATTCAATAAACTATAAAGTTGACCTGTGATTATCTTTGCCAACACCTGGCTGATATGTCTATCAAAATTTCTAACAATGAAAAGGGACCAACTTTCCCAATCTTTCCATAATGCTTAATCTTCAAAAGATTTTTGGAGTCCAGAGGGTTTTTATCTCTTGTTGATTCATCGTCAGAGATCAGCTGACCAAAGAACTGGACACGATAACAATGAGCAATTTCTATACTAGAGAAATATAAAGAAGCTTCCTGAAATGGGCATATCTGGATTTTCTAATCCTGGTATATTCAGAATAACACATAGAATTGTTAATTACATGCCGAATTATGCTGAAGGTGGATTCAATTTATCATTTGCACCTAAAAATGCTAATAAAAATGGACTGTTTCTCATTTCAAAGGAATGCAAAATGAAAATAAAGAAGGAGAAAGCACTAAAACAAGTGCCAGAGTCTACACATTCTCAGTGGCTAATATAAATTAAGTTGGAGAATCAGATGGAGAATATGTACCATAGCAATTTGGACATTCTGTAAACTCGTAAACATCTTTAGCTCGTTTTCGATTGAGAGCTTTCCATTTTCCTGTACCACCACACATATCACCTATATAAAAGGTAAATCAAAATCTTGCATACCAGTTCAAAAGTCAAGACAGATTGGCATGTGATATTTTGAAGATCATCGTATGCGATAAACATGCAAACTTGACAACATTCAGCTCACGCAATGAAAATGCAAAGAAAATGAGAGAGAAGCAAAAGAATACTTACAAAGTACAGCACCGCTGCCCAAACAATTCCGGCATACGGGTTTTTCTTTTCCATCTAAAGCAATTGCTTTTGGGATTGAAATGGAAGTTGCAGAATTACCAATCAGAACTAAGGTTGAACACAAGCAAGAAAGACACCAACGCCTCGATATCAATGATTGAGATTCCTGTCGTAAGAAATAAATATTACTGAATGGAAAATTAAAAAGAGTCATTCCTCTATCAAGACATTTCATTGAAGGCCTGTTTCAACTGTCCATGTCCCCTCAAATTGAAAGGTATGATTCTCTATTAAAGAACAACATTGTTTCATTAACACACAAAATTAAGAAAATTGAACACAGAAAGATAAATTCGATGTAGCGAAAACACAGAACCTTTACCTTGATAGACTCCGATGAGTCATTAACACCTCCAGACGACGAGGAACTTTCATTTTCCAAACTTGATCTCACACGAATCCCAATTGGCTTCACATTAAGTGCTATAAAACATATGATAAACAAATATCATAGTTAACCCCATTGTCTTGTCTACCAGCTAAATATCCATCAATTTAAATGCTATATGTTTATGCATTCCATGAAAATTGAATAAAATGCAAACAATTTTTCATTTAAGTGAATCAATCAGAAGCAAATTACCAAATGGAAGCTAGTTCATGCATGCTTTAAGTTCTTCTATATGATGACAAGAACTGAACTAACTATATGGATAAGACTGGAAAAGGGCTAAACCAAGAAAGCAACGCCTAAGTAAATAAAAGTTTGACGAAGTTTACAAGCCAAGAAAAATTCAATAGATAACAAAGAAAGTAAGAGATAGTTTTCAAGAAGCTGAAATTCATCAACGGGATACTCAAAAAAGAGACGGAAAGAGAGAAAGCTTAGTCTTACAGTGGTGTTGGGAGGTTTTAGAGGAAGAAGAGATACGTTGTGGGATAACTGAGAGATGAGAAGTAGATGATAATGATGATGCCATTCTCTCTCCCTACTCTCTCTCTCTCTCTCAGAAGATCACTCGCTTTTTATATGGGGTGAAAATGCATTCTACACCTGCAATGGTGAAAGGTCGGGGTGGAGTAAATTATAAATCAATCCCTCTAATTTTAAGAAATTAATTAATTAATTATTCTTATTTTAAAATCTAATTATTTAGTTCATTAATTAACCTTGATCGTAATTAATTTAATATTATTTTATTTTAAAATGTATTTTTTTTTCAATCATTCTATATTTTTAATTTTTTTATTTATTGAAATAAAAAATAAAATAAATTGAAAAAAGAGAGAGAATTAATTTACAAAAAATAAATATATAAGAATTAAATTTGTTTTTTTTAAAACCAAGGGGATTAATTAAATCTTGTCTAGAAACTAGAGGGACTAGTTTATAACTTATTCGGTTGAAATGGCACGGGATAAAAGAACTTGTGGACGGAGATGGCTGTTCAGATAATTAAAAATGGTGACGTAAATCATGTATCAGCCGTTTGATTAGATATTTGGATGGATAATATTTTGGCTGCCAGTAAAATATAGAGAGATTAACATTGGTTTAGTAAGTGAATTTTTCAAAGAAGATAATCCAACAAAAAAAATAATAATAACAAATGATACGATAAATTAAATATAAAAAATGATTTGCTTAATATCTAATTCTAAAAGGGCAGATATCAGATAAAATAACCCAAGAATACCCTCATAATTATTTTTTTAAAAAAAAAAAGACCTATAAAATTATTAGTAGTTTTATTTAGAATAAATCATAAATTAGTCTCTTTATTTTTAATAAACAAATTAATCAGTGCATTTGTTTCAAAAACTAATTTTTTATATTTTTAAATTTATTTATAACTTAGATTTTTTTTTCCTTTTCAATTTACTTTGATTTTTTTGTTTTACAAAATTAAAAAAATATAAAAAGATAGACGAAAGAAACAACTTTTAAAAAAAATAAAATAATCTTCAATTAAACACTATCAATATCAGTTAAAAAAAAAACTAAATAATTAATTTTTAAAACAAAATAGACTAATCAATTCAATTCTCAAAAATATAAAAACTAAATTATAATTTAATCGTTTTATTTATTATTTATTGTTACCTCAAGATTCTTATAAATAAAAAAAAAAAACAAAAACAAAACAAAAAACACGAAACAAGATTGCCCAAGTCTCCATTGAGAAATGGTAATGCAGAAAACAAACGAGAACTCTGCCGACAAGATCATTCACACAGCTATCTTTTGGAACACTTGAGCTCCATTGTTTTGGCTAACTAAAAACCAGAGCTCTTAGTTCTTGCCTTATTTGGCCACCCAAATCGAAGCTTAATTATTAAAAATCCGCATCAACGCCAGTGAACTATTCTTAATGAGCATAAATTGCCCATGCAGTCGCGATCTTGCAAACACTAACCACGAAAATATTACCCCAATTTATAAGATCGAAGGCACTTAAGAACTGCAAACCAAAACCTTCTGTGTAAGAGCTAAAATTACAGCTTCAACATCATCGGTATCAATCATACACAAAAATACAATTCTCCGTTGCTGCAGCTAAAGCTCTCTACTCCAATTTGTACAATTAACATGCGAAACTAAATAAGAAGCCGGGACGGCAAGAATCAACAAAAATGCTTTTTGTTTGTTTTCTTGCTCCCTGCAATTTGAATTTTCAAGAAACAGTCCTCCCATAGCACAAACATGCAAGATAGAGGTTCTTCGCCCACTTTTCCTGTAGATTAAAAGAAAACCCCAGGTAAGATGTTGTCCCCTAATTCATTTACTGGATGAAATATTAATGAGAATAGACTGTATGTAAATTTCATACTGTTCGCATCAGCGGATGTAGCAATGACTAAAACCAACACCAGTAAAATATCAAAACATGTGATGCCACACGCAAGCAAGAAATTGTTATGCAAACAACTTCAATTTATACAATTTGTCACAACTCAAACGCAAGCCACAAAAAGAGGACGAACCATCGTACAAACTTTAGTATATTAGCTAAGACACTATGTTTATGTAGTGGAGAAATATCACAATGTTATGACATTAGATGAGTTTGGAAGAGACGAAGAAATCAGTTTAGGCTTGTCAGGTTTATTGCATGAAGATTCTAAGAATAATGAAGGAAGCTGCAGTCTGTTTCTGCAGTAGAGGTGGAGAGACAAAAACATTCAGATAATTGAAGAACAGGGTCAACAACTCTATGATCAAACACAATGTGTTACCTTAACATGAGTGCTTGGAAATTGAGATGTGCGTAAAGTTTCCTGGGTTTCATCTCCTGGTTTGCGCTTTGGGACACTCAAGATGAGAGCAGCTTGATCAAAAGTTGCAGCAGTTGACGTAATTCTAAAACCAGTATCCCACCTTCTGTGAATGCCCTCACTTGGATAAAGAAAATCAAGCTCCACAACCTATTGAAGTCAAATGGCAAGTGAGACACAGAACCCACTCTTGAGTGAGAAGCAAAGTTACATTGCTTGTAGTAAGACATGTAAACTTCTTATATAATGCTGATATGTATATACTTTAGAAGGTTTAAAATAGAGAAATCTGCAAACCACCACACCTATCAAAGCCAGTGGCAAGTGAGACACAGAACCCACTCTAGAGTGAGAAGCAAAGTTCCATTACTAGCAATATAACACGTCAACTTCTATTATAATGCTGGCACACATACTTTATATGGTTTAAACTAGAGAAATGTGCAAATCAGCATGCCTATTGAAACCAACGGCACATGAAACACAGAGCCCACTCAAGTGAGAAATAACAAGTAAACTTCTTATATAAAGCTCACATGTATATCCTTTATATGGTTTAAACTATAGTAATCTGCAAACCACCATACAAGTTTGTATCAAATTACTTGGTGTAAAAATATGGTTGACAAGTGACCCAAGGTCACTCTATTTTCTATTTTGGTTCTAAATCAATGCGTCCACTGGCATCCATAACTACTAGATAGCATCAATTGAAGCAGCAGGTCAATGTTAATTTCTAACCGAATCTGCAATATGTGCCTAAGGATCACAAATAAAAATGAAATCTAGAAGGCAAGGATAAAGGAGCTTTCAGGCTATGAGGTATTTAACTTGGAATCTGCTGCTCAAGTTTAAAAAAGTTATTTATTTATTTTAGTCAAGCTTTCGTTTGAATAACGACAGTTTCAAAGAATAAAAAGGAAAACCAAAAACTAAAAGGTCCAAGGTGAATGAAGATCGCATTCAAATCATGGAAAGTTTTGATCAGACGTTATGAACTGTAAAAATTCATGGGCACGTAGAGTGCAAATTAGTGAGAAGAGCAGTGGCCGCTGCTTTTTATATATTTGAAATGGGCAAATCCTAGGAATGAATTTAATTGTCAACATAACAAAAGAAATTTGACCTGATCACTAAAGCCTGCATTGCGTGACATGACAACACCCCAGCGGGTTCCAGCAGTCGCCATTGATGTCACATAAAATCCTTCTCTCCACTTCTTGTTTATCCACTTGAAGGGAAAAGAATCACTTACTTTGTAAGACTGCTGAGTGTATTGGGTGCCTGCATAAATTAAAACATCAATTTGTTTTTGTTGCTAAAAGTTGCACCACAGCAACACCCTGACCCACCATGCCCAAAAGAGAGAGAGAGAGAGAGAGAAGTTGTAGTGAGGCTCATGTTCAAATGCAACAACCATAGCAAATCATAGTGACCAATTAAAATGTGGCCCAAAGATTAACAAAAGTAACACATTAATACAAAGAACTTGAGAGATAAAGTGAAATGACCTTTGGACATGACCACAAGGGAGCTTCCATTGTTTGAACCCGCAATAGAGCTGATGTAATAGTTCTTCTCCCATTGTTCCATTATCCATTCCTGTTATTTGGGAAGGAACAATTTCGATTATTGTCTTCATATTCAATTACTTACATGATTACAAAAAGAAAACCTGAGCATCCTTACACATGCATGTCTGTAACATATTTATACTTATTTTTATGCATGTTTGCATTTATGTTTATATTTATGTATTTAAATATATGCACCATGGCAATTCACCTTGTGTAAGAAAAACGGTGACAGTTCATAAACTTGGCTTGTAAAATTAGTTCCAGCATCCATGATTAATGCCCAAAGATTGGAAGAAGATGCCACACAACTTATAAGCAAACCATCGGCAATTCCTCTCTCCACGTGTTGACCCAACCTTGCATCAGCGACATTATAATGGTACCTATATACAGAACAGACAGATGTCATCAGGCCTCATTGAGGTTGGGAAACCACATCCAAAAGAGAAAAGGGTATCTCCTCCACGATCTGTGCAGTGAAGTAAAGGAAGGTGCCCAATATCCTCAGTGTACAAGAGACCACCAAATATGATAGACCAGGTGGGCAGGGAGAGAAACAACAGGAGTGGTTTACCCTTACACAAATTGCCAAACAAGAGACCACCAAGTCTGATAGACCAGGTGGCTGCATAGGGACCACACAGAGTGCGAGGCTCAATGGATCATGAAAGAATTTTTCAAACAGATAAATGCAATAACAGTCATTTTCGAATCTTTGCTTAGAGCAGTTCTTTTAGCAAAGCCATTCGCTGTTACAAAACGAATTTCCCTTTACTTACATGACCAGAGTTATGTAATTTCTTGTCATCTCAAATTAATGAAGGGTAAACCAGAATCCAAAAAACATAGCAAATTTTTAGATGGAAAATACCGAGAATCACGAATGAAAACATTGTACCTCTGTTTCATTGGTGGCTTAGCATTGTAAATAGAAATCCATTGCGTAGCAGGGACTCCAAGACGGACCTTCTTCTTAGGTTGCCCATCATCTTCTTCCTCAATATTCAGCCTACCACGTTTTTGACCAACTTGACAAATGATCTGCCAAAGGAAGTAGTATTATTGACCCAGCAAGAGCAAATATAAGAGCAATACTTGTTCACCACCCCTACCTTTTGAGCACCATCAGTGTTTATTGGCCTGATAGCTGGATTTGGTCCTATCAAGCTCTCAAACAAAGAGATTAATTTGGAATAGTTGGGCTCCTCGTCAAATTTCATATTCACCACGATTTCAAGAAACTGTCTAAGAGCAGGAGGACAGAAGCAGCACAGGATCTCTGGAGACGTTGCCATTTTCTTTTTGCAAACCAAGAAGGATTTGTTGTCACCCTAATATTAATTTGACAAGAAAAGGCAACAGAGTCAGCATATCATTCTAAAGAAGAACTCCAAGATGATGGCAAACTACCCTTTGCAAGCATGTGTGTTTTGCATGTATTAATATACTCATGTGTATGGTCTGTGAGCTTGTAAGTATGTCCTTGTGTACCTGATAGCCTTGCCATGGCAATCTTCCTTTGTGAAGGAAGATGAGCGTATAAGCAAGAGATTCAAGATCATCTCGCCTACTGGCAGTTCTTCCTAAATGCGCATGAACACTAGCATATCGAACAGTTCCCCTGGGAAATTAAACAGAACAGTATCATGAATAATGGTCCAGAATCACATTTCCACAAGACCCAAGAAGAAAAATCACTGAGTCTCACCTAAACATATCAGGGCGCTGATCGTATTCAACATGCTGTCCAGTACCGCTGTCTTTCCACTTTGTTGCTGCAGTTTTGGGCACCAGTAGCGCATGAGGAATTTAAAAAAATAGCAATAAAAGCACTTCAATGATTAATGACTTTGACTCACCTAATCCAAGGTCAACAAGAAATAACTTCTTCTCTTGAGCTGTAGCTGGCTGACCAAGTAAAAAGTTTTCAGGCTTTACATCTCCATGCACGTAGCTAAAATAAAACAAGGTTGCATAATTCATAAGTTTCTTGCAACGGAAAAATGGAATGAAGAATAAATCATGCCACCAGATGAATATATAATTATGACATCCTAAGTTTTACCAAGAAAACAATCTCATACACACAACTAAATAGCATACCCTCTTGAGTGCATCTTCTCTAAAATTGAAAGAGACTCGGCTGCAATACAAGCTACCATTTCCGAGGACATCCTACATTAAAAAAGAATGGCAAACCAATCAACATGTAGAACAAAGAAAGCAAATCGAGACATAATGTGTCTCACAGGAAAAAGAATACAGCCCATAGATAAAAGACATGCCCAATTCTTCCTCGGTTTTTTTTCAGGGAAGGAAAAAAAGCATAGGGAACCGACCAGTTGGATAAAATAATGCATACAAGATTTGGCATAACATGTTTCATGATGATCATACAAAACAACTTCACAAAATTTAACACCCAAACCAATTCCGAGGCAAAATAACATATAACACCAAAAATATTACACAAAAAGAAAGAAAGAAATGCATGAAATGCTCACGCCTGCCCAGAAGAATTCCATACATCCCAGAGACTAGGGCCCAACATGTCCATAACCTGAAAAATAAATGAGCTGACGTTAAACCAAGAAACAAGATCAACAGGTGAGAAAAGGGTGAGTTTGCAGATCATACCATTACATAATAATCTCCTTGCCTTCCTTTATAGTGCACCCTCGGCACTCCATGACTGCCACCGAGCGTGCTGTCAAACAAAAACACATTGCAGAATAGCTAAAATATTTAAAATAAATCTGAAAACCACTAGAACAAAATCTAGAGGGAAAAATGTACATACTTGTAAACTTGCCATTCATACGGGGGCCCATAATTACAGCCTTTGCTGTTTCTGTGCTCAAATTTCAAAGCCACCTATAGGAAACGCATGCAGGAAAAAGAAAATTACAGCAAGATTAAGTTTGAATATCAGATATCACAAATACAGTAGCTACATTAATTTTACCTCCAAGGCCCCAGAACCTGTCGCGCGTTCATTTCCACCATTAGCACGACGACCAACGAACACCTGACCAAAACCACCTTTCCCCAACTTCCTTTCTATCTTATATAAAGGTGACCCTCCCACTTGAACCTTGGATGAGAAAATAACAAACACTCTAATTACCGCAAAGATAAAAAGCAATAGTAGAAGCTTAACATGTCGTGGTTTATAAAGCCATGCAAGCAACGACAAATCAAACCATGGAAACTAACAAAAATTTCAGCGGAGGCTTCTATACTTACATCTTGAACAAATAAATGCATGTACAGAACTGGCAGCAATCATCCGCAACGAACATTAAAAAAAAAAACTTTTAACTTTCCAAAAACAGCCAAACATTCCAAGAAAAAAAAAAGCAACGAAAATCTTAGCTCATTCAAGCTTTTAGAAACACTAATGAAAGCGCATATTAAACCCCCAACAAAACAATCCTTTTATAGCTACAAGCATAAATCACAAACAGCAGCTAATCAAAACCAAACTCTGCAAAAATCTTAAGCTCGTTCAAGCTTTTAGAAACACTTATAAATGCGCATATTAAACCCCCAACAAAAAAAACCTTTTATAGGTACAAGCATAAATCACGAACAGCAGCTAATCAAAACCAACATTTTAAAACCAAACTCTGCAAAAACCATCAACAAAATGGAGACACAACATCTAACCAACACAAACGAGAGCAAAACTCAGCCCCACAAAACACAAACCATTCATTCAGCTAAAAAACCAACACATGACCATTGACGCATCAACTTACAACACCAACAACCAAAACCCACCATAGAAATCACACTTTCATACACAAAACATCCCATTTTAAAACGAAATGACCGTAATTTGATGCATACTCTATATATGGGCAAAATTACAACAAAATAAAATAAACTCAGAAGACAAAACATCAAATTGACCACAAACTAATCTAGGGAAAAAAAAAATACCTTATCAGGGAAAGGAGCAGTACTTCCCTCCTCTTCTTGCCCGCCAGCTTTATTAGCACTTAAACCTCCGCTATCATCAGCCATTGCAACTTTCACTCTTTCAGCTTTCTCTTCTTCTTCGATATGAACTACCAAATTCTTCCCTTTCTTATCACTCTCTGATATCAAAATTACCTGTTTACCCTCCTCTTCCTTCTTTTTCTCCTCCTCTTCCTTAACTCTAAGACTGCTATTCTTATTACCTTCTTCTTCCTTCTGTTTCAACCTTTTCGCTTCCAACCTTGTCCTTGGTCTCTTCTTCGCTTCTTTAGCAGCACGGGTCTTCCCCTGATTTCTCGCAACCGGAGGGTCTGTTTGCTTCTCTTCTTGTTGATTTCGCGCTAACCTTGCGCGATTTCTTCTAAGCTCAGGCATAATAGCTGATTAATCCCATGCAATCCGTCCCTTAAAAACCCTAGTACTTCTATTTTGATTATCATTATACTGAACTCGAACTAGAATCCATGGCTACGTTAAAAAAAACGGATTAAATCGGGTTTTCTAGGGTTTCGATTTTGAAATTGAAGATCAATTTGAGAGAAATTTGAGATAGATAAAAGGTTTGGAAATTGGGATTTTTTAGGGTTAGGGTTTGATTGGGAGAGAGGCGGAGAAAGAGAGAGAGAAAGAAAAAGAACATGAGAAATGAAGAAGCAAATTGGAATGAAGTTTTGGGGTTATGGTGGGACCAGAAAGAGGGGAAACGGTCGTAGTGGTTTGCTTGTTTGGCATCGACTCTGCCATGTAAGCTTTTGGATCGTGGAGCAATGGTTTGGCTGGTTAGTGTGAGCCTCCGGTTAGGTATGGATGGCAATAAGATTATTTACTGTTATTTACTTAAGCTGCGTTTGTTTGAAAAAAAAATATATATATATATATATATTTATTTATTTATTTTAATGTTTGTTTCGTGTTAAAAAAATAATAAAATTTGATTTTCAATCAATAAAAGTTAATAAATTATTTTTGAAAAGGTAATTTTCGAACTCAAAAAGAACTCAAAAAGAAAAAATGTATTTTCTCTCTCTTAAGAGTTCGTGTCGCTCTCGCGTTACTCACCTCTTTCTCGATATATTTTAATAATTTTTTCTTTATTTTTTTATTTAAAATAAATCAAATTTATTTTTAATTATTTTTCTCTATTTCTACTAACATTTGATTTTTTGATTTATAAATATATTAAATATTCTTAAAAACCTTTTTTACACTTGAAAATTATTTTATAATAAGTATTTTAATAATTTATTTCTATTTTTATGTAATTATTAAATATCAAAAAATTATTTTCTGAAAAAATAGCTTTTCTAAAAAAAATTTCTTATTGAAAGTTATTTTTTGTCAAACAAACATAATCTAAATTATATTTTAACATCCAACTAATCTTGAATATGTCTACGTTCGAATAATCTCGTTTACAATAAATATAAAAGATTCATTTTCGATCTCAATATAATGGAATTTATCTATGTATGTACATACATCAATAGATATGGTATTTCGTATTGGAAAATTGACACGGCTCGGTGATCATCTGTTTAGTAAGAAAAAGAAAAGCAAGAAGAAGGTGGTGGCGTTGGTCATAGAACTTAGGCTGCTTCCTTTGCGGAGAAATTTGTTCCCTTGCTTTAAACGATTTGATTAATAATTGCATAGGCCTACCCAAATGCAAGTTGAATCACGTTTCTTTTAATTAAATAAAGTTTATTTCCAAAAGCGGTTACGGGAAAAGTCATGAAAATAATTTATTTTGGGGCCACGGTGTTTAAAGTCAAAATATAGAGAAATTTGTCTATATAAGTTGAAACATTTTATTTGTGGGTGCAATTTTCAATGGGAAAAATCCTAATATTTCAAGAGTATCGTCTTCGGTATTGTATTAATTCAAATTGAGTCACGAATGGTTATATGACTTCAAAATCAATGTGATTCTTATTTTTTATATCTTGCTTCTTTCTAAATTGCTTAAATTATATCAACTTTAATGAGAATATGAATTAGTTCATATTAGATGAATGTTTATATTACGTTTCGGATCGAGCATAATAAGTAAAAACATTTGAAAAAAAAATCATTATAACTTTATGGTTTTAGTCACCTTGATAACAACGAAACCTAGGAGCATTAAATGTTTTGTCTGAAAAGAAAAGGAAATGACGGGAAAAAAAGGCCTAAGAAGAAAATTAAAACGAAAATCAACCAAAGCAAGTATAGAGTTTCCTAAATTTATCGAGTGACAAAAGAGAAATTAATAAAAAGCTAAGAAGCGAAAACTAAGCAACCATTCATCTCGTAGGAGGAAAAAATAATTATTAAAAGCTAGCAACATGACATATCACACAATGACGAAAAGAACATATTGGTAAGGAACGGCTTACATCAAAGAAGAAGCCTCGTACACTATAGTTGAGTCGCAACAAATAGTTCATTTGTGCCTAAAACAATAATAAATAAATAGTATTCAGACAGTAAATATCCTAATTTTTTTTATTCTTTTTGTTAATGATTAATTTAAACAGTTTAAATATCAAATAATAGACATTCTTGAAGTGGGAGTTTTTTTTCCCCCTATTGTCAAGTGCTATTATGAGCAGTGAATTAGAATCATCAAATTTACAAAGTGATTTTTTTTACACTAATAAGAGATTCGAATTTCAAAATTAATACTAATTGAGTTACCGTTTATTAATGCATGGAGATTTTCGAGTAATTAATATATGTGAAGTTAATGTAAAGATACAAGAGGGCAAGAGGAGTTTTTTTTCATACCAAGATATTTTTAAATCTTATTTTTCATAATAGGATAGTTTTAAACTTACTTATCAAAACGAGGCATTTTGTGCCATATAAGAATCATCTCATTTATATGACTTAACATGTCAGATTTAAAAAAAAAATCATTTTGTTAAATAATTGTTACCGCATGAATATCTCCTACCATATACACATGGGTCTTTCCCACGTGAATTTATCACTATTTTATCTTTTGTCATCCATTCCATTGCCCTGCTCCTCTACTTAAACTCAACAATTCTTGTCTCTGCTTAAAACCCAATCGTTGAGTAACAGAAAGTGATAATATCAAACAAACATAATGAAAAACCGATGGGCTTATTACACGACAGTTGATCCAACGAGATTGTTATATTATGCCATGGTTTTTGTTCCACGAAGAAAGACGATGCTATGATGAATCTTGCCAAGGAGTTAGAAAAGGAAGGAATCTCTACCTTCCGTTTTCAACTTTGCTATAAACGGGGAAAGCGAAGGTTCGTTTACATATGGTAACTATTGGAGAGAGGCAAATGATTTACGTGCTGTAATCGAACACTTCGACGCAGAAAGTCGTGCCATAAGTGCAATTCTTGGGCATAGTAAAGGAGGTGATGTGATGATCCTATATGCTTTAAAATATCAAGATATCTTTTATGGAAAAAATCAAGTATGATGGATTCATCGATGTCGAGAATAGAACATGAAGTGTTATTTATCATGTGACCGAGGAAAGTTTGATGGATCGACTTAATACTTACATGCATAAAGCATGTCTTGCTATCAATAAGGATAAGGATTGCATGGTCATTGCCATTCATGGATCTGTTGATGAAATCATCCTAGTGGAGGATGCATTAGAGTTTGCCAAGATCATGCCAAACCACAATCTACACATCATAAAAGGAGCAAATCATAGCTACACTTCGCATCAAACAGAGTTGGTATATGTTGTTTTGAACTTCATGAAAGCAACCTTATAGCATGAAGAAGGTACCCCCATCTAGAGTGTGGTATGCATCAAAATGGTAGATTGTATTGAAATCTTAAAAAATTCCCTGTACATTTAATAACGCAAGCAAATCATGGATACACTTCTTATTAAATTGGCCCATGATATAGGCATGATGTTTGAAGTCTACTGATAAAATGGATAACGACATTTTGTAGCTTTGGTGCCTTGTAAAACCTACTCGATATGTGGTCAGAGTTTTCTAATGCAATTGATCTTTGCTTAGTTAGGGAGATAATTTGGCTTGAAAAAAAAAACACTTAGATTATCCTACAATGATTTGTTTAGAAATATACCATATTCTTAGCAAATTCATATATCCTAAATTTTGGGGGTAGCCATTAGCCACAATTTGGCCCGCAGCAGCCCCTTAACCTAAAAGATGAAAGCTTTTTTATTTTTTTCTTTTAAGAAGAGAGGTCTTAGCATTTTTATGTTTTTTGATTAATGAAATACCTAAAATAAAGATGAAGCTATTTAATGTAAGGAAATTATTTTTTAATGATTAAAAAAATGATGTGGATGAAAAAAATATGACGTGGCAAAAACGTGTCTTTTATTTAAGAAATAAGTTTAAAAGTACCCCAATTAAAGAATAAAGATTTAAGAATGTATTGGTTTAGGAAAAAGCTGGGGCAAAAGTACGTAAACTAGAGTTTTTTTTCCCTAAATAGAGTATTTTTTAATCTATTTTTTTTAAATAAGGTATTTTAAATCTTATTTATAAAAAATAAGGTAGTTTTATCTTATAGGTATCCATGTCATCTTTTTTAATTAAGTGTTATAATATATATTTAATATAATAATTTGAAAAAATTAAAAACATAAAATAAAAAACTAACTTACGCTCTCAGTCTCTCTTTTGTTGTCTTTGCTCAAATTTCTAAAAGTTCAAATACTTTCACAAATCGAAGCCACAATTACTGTAAAAGCACCCTAATTAGTGGGTCTTGCAGATAAGTTTCTACTTGAAGTTACACAAGTTCGGAGGGTCTTGCAGTTCTTATCATTGCCTTCAGAGGATAAAAACAAATAGAAAAGCAATGGGTGAAAGGTAAAAGTCCGTGGCTCTCACTTGATCTTCTACTTTACTGACAGGGTATCCTTTTGAATAAGAAAGAGTTGATGCCGGAATTTCATCTTTTTCGTTATAGAGCAAATCAGCAAATACAAATATAACACTTTACCGGAATTTCTTATTCCATTACTAGGTGTTTTGGAAGAGAGAATCTAAAAAAACTATACTATTGTCTAGTCAGTTATTATCTTCTTCACGTTTTTCTCAGCAGACAAACACCCCCAAGAGAAAAAAGTTATCATTTTTCACAAGTAAATTGAAAACATACTAAGAAAAAAAGAAAAAAGGGTCTTACCATCAAAGTTTTTTGTTGTGCCAGTAACAAAAAGTCACAATTGAACTGAACGATGAACCCAGTACAAAGAGTGGAAAATGGAGTCAAAAATCAATAATCAGGAACTAAAATCTTTAAAAACACAAAGCTAAATTCTCTATAAAAATTGAAAAATAAAGAAACGAGAGAGGAGGAAGGATGAGAGGGTTGTTGAGTTTAGAAGGCTCGATACAAAATTTTATTGTTATTTTGGTAGAGACTGAAATCAAAACAAAAGAGATTTTTGGTTCTAGAGAGAGGATAACTTAATTTTTTAGGAAAAAAATAAAACTGACATGCTATATATATATATATATATATATATATATATATATATATATATAAACCTAACATGTCATTGTATTTAATTGAAATGAATCATATTTGGCATATACTATTTTATTATGATAAATAAATTTAAAACTATGATATTACAATAAATAAGATTTAAAAATATCCTGTTTTTTTAAAAAAACTTACGTAAACTATTCAATGTTAAAGATTTTCCAAGCATGAGCGATATGATGTGAGCATAAAAGGAGTCAGAGTCACGTATCCAGCCTTTTCCGGACAGTTGCCTATTTTTATTAAATCAATCAACCAGTAAAATCCAAAACGATATTATATCATGGATGCCACCGATACAGAGGATATTTTTGTTTTACAGGCTATCTGAGTGGAAGCAAAATAATTATTTTGAAGGACACAAGTGCTTTGCACAGTGGAAGCTTTTTATTGTATTTGTAATTGCCAACTCGACGAGTAAATTATAAATAAGTTTTTCTAGTTTCGAAAAAATGAATGTTTTTTTTGTTTAAAAAACTTCTTTTTTAATCTTTTAGTGTTTTTTATTTAATTATTTTATTTTTTAAAAATATTTTTAGTTAATTTTTTCACAATATTTATTTAATTTTTTCTTTTAAAAAATAGAAATGTATAAAACAAATAAAAAAGACTAAATAATTAGTTTTTAAAACAGATAGGCTAATTAATTATTTTTCAAAAATAAAGGGACTAATTTATAATTTACTCCCAACTAGACACGCATGAATTTTAACCTTCGTTTCTCCATTTAATTAGTTGGCCTTTATTTATTATTTCCATGATAAATTAATCAAAAAGGTCATTCACTCAGTTAGTGGACAAGGATAACAATGACCAATGATGATCTTTGCGTGGATAATTATAGATTTTATTCACTAATCGAATCTCAAACTTCCTATATATATATATAAATTGTTTTCTGAGTTTCCAACCACGAAGAGACAACCACAGAGAGTATTTAATGGTATATTTGGTTCACAAGAAAGGTTCTCAATCATGGTAAACCGAACCGAAGGATTGAGAAATTTTATAAAATAGAGAGACTGAATAAATTAATAAAAAATGTAGAGGGATTAAATTAAATAATATATCAAAAATTAAGGGACCAAATAATACTATTAATTCACTGTACAAGGAAGATATGACAGCTGTCGCCTACCAAAGACCGACGGTGATGTATTTTTGATGAATTTAACACGTAATAATTGCTTTTAAATTCCACTCAGCAATGCTTTTTCAACTCGCCTGGTGTGTCAAATTTTATTTTATTTTCTTCTTATTATTATTATTATTTGCAAAAATTGGCTAAGCATTCGTGACCCGCAAGGGATGTAATCAGGTAAACTGTCGTTCATGCATAGGAACAAGAATTTAACTCAAAGCCGATCCCCAACGAATATCCATTTGTACTGAACGGATCCGCTTTTTATAAATAATTATTATTTTAGATTAGATATGGATTTTTAAAATTTTTATCTATTAAGTAATAAATATGATATAAGTATTGTCAAATTCGATTAAAAAAATCTGACCTGAAATTAAATATATTAGTTTATATATATATATATGTGTGTGTAACATATTTTATAATTTTTTCATTAATGTATGTACATGTATCTCAAATATACACACATATATTACTTTTTTTATTTTGAATGATAAATAGTATTCTAATAATAGATATCTAAAATTTTATAGATCGAATATGAATATCTAAATTTTTCACCAGATGGATAATAGATAGATTGTGGGTATAAATATTAATTTCGAGTATGAGTATAGATATACAAAAAACTCAATCCATGAATATCCATTGTCATCCTTAGTTTTGTATGAGTGGAGGGTTTTTTCTTTCTTTTCAATTTGTTATCTATTGGATTTTAATATCTATTAATTAATAAGAAATTAATGGCAAGATTCTTGTTATTTTTAGATTTTTCTAAGCATAGCATGGATGCTTCATTTTATTGGTCCATACAAGCTATCCATAAAATTTTCTAATTGATATTTCATTTTATTAGTCCAAACAAACTAATTATAAATTATTTAAATTGATAATATGAATACCTCCAAAGTCTAGAGTTAATTGTACTTCATTGCCACTTCATCTTATAAAATTTTGACAATTTTGTTTTAAAAAAAAAGCTAAATGAATTAACGACAAGATTTATTGCTATTTTCTACATGTTTGGATGGTTTTTCTAGATAGAGCATGGATACTTCATTTTATCAATCCAAACAAACTAATCATAAATCATTTTAATTGATAATATGAATATGAATACCTTAATGTGTTGTTTGGTAATCGAAACGAGTAGTGAAAATAGAAAATGAAAGTTTTATTTCTACGTTATAACTCGCTTGATTGAAAGGAATGAAGTATGGATGAGAATAAAAACAATGAATGAGAATGAAATTTTATTTTTTCTACATAATAATATATTTTATTTGTTTATCATATACTAACCACTTCTACCACCATCACCATCATCACAACTAACACAACTATAATCATCACCATCATAACCACTAGAACAACCACAACCACAGCTTAAAACCATAACCACAACCACCACCACCACCATAATCACTACCACAATCATCATTATAATAACCACAACAACAACCACCACTATCACTCTTATTATTTTTACAGCCATTATAGTTTGATAAAATTATTTTTTTAATAACTATTTTTATTTGTATAAAAAATTAAATATTAAAAAATTTAAATTGTATTCGATTCCTCATTGGTGTTCCAAATGTAGCATGAAAATACAAAAATCATTTCAATTCTTAATTTTTATTTTGATTCATACATTCTCATTTCGATTTTTTCACTTATAGTAAACAAATGACACCTAAAAATATAGATCTAATTGTACTTCATTGCCACTCCTTCCTCTAACTCTAAAAATTTGACCATTTCTTATAAAAAAGAAGCTAAAGAATTAACTACAAAATTCATTGTTATTTTTGCATGTTCGGAGGGTTTTTGTAAATATTGCATGGATACTTCATTTTATTGGTCCAAACAAGATAGCCATAAATTATTCTAAACGATAATTCATTTTATTAGTCCAAACAAACTAATCATAAATTATTCTAATTGATAATATGAACATGAATATCTCTAAAACATAGATCTAATTGTACTTTATTGTCACTTTACCCTCTAAATTTTTGACCATTTCATGTAAAAAAGAAATTAATTGCTTTTAGAAGTTGGATTTCCAAATAAAGTTAAAATAAGAAGTTTGGATAAAGAAAAATCACACACCAATTCTCCTGAGTATTTTTTCAAATCAAAATATTTTAAAATCCTTTTTACCAAAACAAGGTAGTTTTAAACTTATCTCCTAAACTAGGGTATTTTATACCATGTAGGATTTATTTATCCATGCCATTTCTTTTTTACTTAACTAATATTTTTTTTGTTAAAAAGTAAACAGTTAATAAATATAAATTTATAAATTGATATAATTGGAATGTAACTTTTAATTAGATATATATGTGCGTGTGTAATTATACTTGAGCATTTTTTTACAAAATAGACTTTAATTAAAAATATTTTGGAAAAGCATAAATTTTAAAAATAAATATTTTGAAATATATATATATATATATACATATATATATATATAGAAAGATAGGCAATCTCTCATAAACCTATATCAAAATTTAAAAAAAACATATATAAATTAATACTTAGTAAAATCAATTAGATCATTCTCTTCTCTGTGCAAAGAAAAATTCTGAAGGTGCATTGTCCAAATGCTACTGCTTGCAAAGTATACATTTTTCTATGCGTGACATGACCGAGTCTGACTTAACTAGTGCTGCTGGGTTTCAGTGGTTTTGAAGTAAATATTGCATGGATACTTCATTTTACAGCCTTTTTATTTTCTTTCAAGAATTATTTATTTATTTATTCACGGTGACACAAAGATTCAAAAATATATTTTTTAGTTGTTAAAAAAAGATAAAGAACGTAGACTCTAGGATGATAACATAATTTTTTAAAAAAAATAAAATAAAGCTGATGTGTTAAATGATTCATTATTAGCATTAAAAAAAAAACTGACATATGTTTGAGATTTTATTCACGTGGCAAAAAGTATCATAATTTGATAAATAAAATTAAAAAAAATCTTATTTTTATAAATAAGTTTTAGAAGTATCATGTTTTTCAAAAAAAAACTCCAATTCTTCTCCACATAAAAAATCACTAAATACCTAAATTGAGAGAGATTTAGAGTGGAATTCTAAAAGAAATAATCTTACCAAACCAGATATATATAAAGAAATCTCATAAACATCAGCTTCGACCGTTTGATTTTTATTTTAGATTTAGATGCTAGAATTACCTTAAACGTGATTTGTTTTGTTTTTTCCCTACCATATATAGGCTATGAATATAAGACAAAACAAATAATGGTGAAATATTGCAAAATAAAAATCATTGGGTGAATATTTTCTTAAGATCATTAACAATGCTCGTACCCAAACACGAACGAGAGGCAAAAAATGGGGACTGATTCACAATTTTTGTTGTTGATGATGTTTTGAGTTCAATTTTTCAAGTTAAGTTAGAGGAATTTATTGGCAAATGCACTAAACTCCAAAAACAAAAAAAAAATTCTCAAGTGATACATATATGGGTTAAAAGATCTATTATATTATTGAATAATAATAGAAAAATACCTCTTGCTTGACAAAAATGGAACAAAAAAAAAAGTTTCAATGAGATAACTATACTATAAATATACCAACTTTTAATATTTTTCAATCGAGTAAGTGAATTTTAATTTTTTTAGCTTGAATGTATTAGTTTTTTCAAAATTCTCAATTAAGAATTTTTTAGTCCTGCTTCTTTTACTTGCTTCACTATTTGATGATGTGTCATTTTTTATAAACTAAATTATGATTTTATCATTTCATTTATCAAATGAACTCTGCCTCCTAAATTATTTTATTTATTTATTTATTTTTTACATAGTAAACATCTATATTGCCCTTCTATTGAAAAGGTAGAAGATGACAAAGTAAAGTGGGAGAGAGGATTTCCTCATAGAATGAAAAGTTAAAACCATAATTTAATAATATAAGACAAATAATATATCATCAAATAACAAACTAATTAATAGAAATTAGGGAAAAAATAGTTGATTAGCAGTCTTGAAAATATCGATACACTTAAATAAAATCTATATGCTTAATTGAGAAAAAAATAAAATTTGGAGCACATACAGAGCAATTATCCTAGGTTTCAATCCCAGAAAATGTCGTGGACCGATTGATTAGAAGGAAAACAAACTTACATGGTGTTTTGATTACGAAAACAAGAGGGCAAAAGAAGATGGGTAATACCTTATCAAGAGGAGATATGAGGATAGAAATTGGATTTCCAAACAAAGTCAAAAAAGAAGTTTGTATGAAGAAAAATCACACACCAATTCTCCTCCCACCAAAAATCTCTAAATATGCAAATTGAGAGAGATCTAGAGTGGAATTCTAAAAGAAATAATCTTTCCAAACCAGATTAGTTATTGATTTTTTTTAATATAAAAAAATCTCGAAAACATCACCTTAAACCGTTTGATTTTTATTTTAGATGTTAGAATTACCTTAAAGAGTAGTGCTACATAACATCAGTGGTGTCAAAAAATAAATCATCATAATTTTATAGGGGTAGTGTTTTTTAGGAGAGATATAAGAGAGGGAAAAAAGATGAATAATTTTTAATATGATATTATATCATTTAACTTTTTTATTTTTCAAATTTATCTCTAAAAACTTTTTATTTTTAAAAATAGTTTTTGTCACCGTAGCATCGTAAAACATTTTCCTTAGAATCGTAAAACATTTTCCTTCTTTAAACGTGTTTTTTTTCTTTTTCCTCGTGAATGATGGAACAAGCAACGGTGAAATCTTGCAAAAATAAAAATCAGTGGGTGAATATTTTCTTAAGATCATTAATAATGCTCGTTCCCAAGCATAAATGAGAGGCAGAAAAAGGAGACTCGATTCACGAGTGCTCACTAGCTTGGCTAAAAGATCAATTGGGATGTCATTGAGCAATTCAAAATGTTAGCTTGACTGTTCAAAAGTTTTTTTTTTTTTTTTTTTTTAATGTTTTGAGTTCAAATTTTGAAATAACCGTTGGAGGAATTTATTAGTCAGAGCACTGGACTTGAAAAAAGATTTAATTTTCATTGATATACTAATGGATGAAAAGACAGATTAAAATATCTATTTTACTGTTGAAAATAAAAAATAAAAAACTCTTTTTGAGTAACAAAAACTGAACAAACCAAAAGAGTTTCACCGAGATAACTACATTATAAATATATTGACTTTTGATATTTTTTAATTGAACACATATATTTTAATTTTTCTATTTAGATATATTAATTTTTTTAAAAACTACTAATTTAATATTTTTATTTAATTTTTGTCACTTGCTCTGTTATTTAATAATGCGACGTGTGTCATAAATTACTAAATTACGATTTTATTATTTCATTTATCGAAATTCTCTCAAATCTTGTGCACTTTTTTTGTCATAGTAAACATCCAAATTGTCGTTATATTAAAAAGATGAAAGATTGCAACGTAAGGTCGGAGGAAAATTTCCTAAAAAATAAAAGGTTAAAATTATAATTTAATAGCATGAGACCTATGATACATCATTAACAACAAATTAATAGACATAAGTTAAAAAAAGTATTTGGTTAATAATTTTTAAAAATATCAATATATTTAAATAAAAAATTAAAATTCATATATTGAATTCAAAAAAATAAAATATAATTAGGTACCCCACTTGTGAAAAATGCCACAAGAACATCACGGTATGACAACATGGGCAACCGTTCCCCCTGTTGTCATCTGATAAATTAAATCGTTTTTTAATGTTTATCTTTTCTATATATTTTTCGTCCTTTTCGAGAATAAAAGGGAACTTTTCCCTCCTAACGATAATTACCACCCGCCCTTTCTCTCCAAACCTTTTTGTCTGTGCTTTGCTGCTTTCTACTTCCAACTGACTAAACGCTGCCGTTTCCAGCAGGTTTTATTTACATAATCAATTTGGTTAACAACTTAGTTCAATGTAAACCGTCTACCTTCCATATCAATATCTATTATCCCTTTATTTATCCATTTTTTATGATAATTAAAAAATAATTAACTATATTTACTTTGTAAAAGAGATAGATACAAAGAAAAATAAAAAAATAGAGGATAAAAAAATTGAATCTAAAAAAAATATATTTATTATTTTTTTTGAATTCGAATATAATTTTCTTTATTTTTAGTAGATCATCAAGTAAATATCTTTAAAAACTCATTTAATATTTTAAAAGTTTTCTTCACCCACTAAATATTTAATAAATATAAAAACATGAATCAATTTTTTATTTTTAAAACATTATTATAAAAAAGCCCATCCATTAATTACAACAATATAATATAAAATCCATCCACAAAATCATTAGAACCTAGAAAAAAACGAAATTCAAATCAAATCGGTCGTAAAAAAAATATTGTATGCATATTAGCAAAATAATTAAAAAAAAAACTATGCTCGTTTACACCAACATCTAAAATCGAATAAAATCTTCTTCTAACAGGATCCAAGTAAAATCGTCACAATATTTAGTGCATGAATTACGAAATGGTAATCTCAAATTATCGAGCAAAAAAAAAAAAAAACGAGAAACAAAATATAGAAATCCACAATCAATTCCCAACGTTCAAAAAAATCAAAATCCCTAAAACACACCGCCGCCTGTCAGTCACAAATTCGAAAAACCAAAATCCCTAAAATCCCTCCCAAACTTTTCGCTTCCCGCTCTCTCTTGCTTTTGCCCTATTTTTTTATTCCTCTTCAAAGTTTAAACAGTCCGACCCTTTCTCTGTCTCAGTTTCTGTCTCCGAAACAAACAACTTCTTTATCTCTCAGCTTCTCACTCTCCAAAAAAATACACACTCTCTCTCTACGCTGCCGTTTCATCTTCTTAGCCACCACCAGCATGCCGTCGAAGCGACTGCGCAGCTCCTCGTCTAAACCAGATGCGTCGTCTTCTCCTACCAATAAGAGAAAGACGACGGCGGCTGCAGCGCCTACCGAGCCGAAAAGGATTCGTTTGAAGGAAAAAAAGCAGAGGCGGAAGAGCAGCTGACCACGCCAAAACAGAGTGGCATGAAGGATAAAAAAGGGGAGAGGGAAAAGCAGCCGACCACGCCGAAACGGAGTGGCTTAAGGGAGAAAAAGGCGGAGAAAGAAGAGCAGCACACCACGACGAAACGGAGTGGCTTGAGGGAGAAAAAGGCGGAGAAGGAGCAGCAGCCCACCACGCCGAAACGGAGTGGCTTGAGGGAGAAAAAGGCGCAAAAGGAGGAGCAGCCCACCACGCCGAAACGGAGTGGCTTGAGGGAGAGAAAGGCGCAAACGGAGGAGCAGCCCACCACGCCGAAACGGAGTGGCTTGAGGGAGAGAAAGGCGCAAAAGGAGGAGCAGCCCACCACGCCGAAACGGAGTGGCTTGAGGGAGAAAAAGGCGCAAAAGGAAGAGCAGCCGACCTCGCCGAAACGGAGTGGTTTGAAGGAGGAAAGGGCGGAGAAGAAAGAGAAGTTGAAAATGCCGAAACGGAGTCGTTTGAAGGAGAAAGAAGTAGAGAAAGAAGAACCGTCGACCTCGCCGAAACGGAGTCGTTTGAAGGAGAAAAACGTGGAGAAGGAAGAGGAGGTGTTCGTAGAGGGAGAGGAGGATGATACGAACTCGGTTGATGAAGTAGGAGCTAGAATGGGGTCCAATGATGGAGGTTCTAGATCTGAAGGGAGGGGGAAGCGGGGATCGGGTAAAGCAGGTAAGAAGATGTCGACGATTGAAAAGGCTGAGGAAGATGGAACGTCGGCGAGGTTTGTAGGTGATCGGGTTCCTGATGCAGAAGCGAGGAAAAAGTGGCCTCATCGATACATAAATGAGGTAAATTTCTTGGTTTATTTATTTATTTATCATTATCTCTCTGTTTTTGTTCCTTTTTTACTTTTTTTTTAAGCAGCGTAAATCATAGGGAAAGGAATCACCTTTTCTTTAATATCTTTTATTAAGGTATATCGTTTTTTGGTGTGTGTGTGTTGAAAATCAATGTAAGTTCATAGTGTTTTAAGTGGATTTTGTATGAAAAGAGACATTGTCAGCATTTTGTGTTTGTTTATCTGGCTTTGAAATTATGGCTGTAAGTACATTTTGACTTGAAATTGATTTTAGCTGCCTGAAAATGGTGTTGTTGAGTTTTAAGTTTTTGATTAAACGGAGTGTGAACTCATAAAACAGACGATTTGATTTTATAAACTTAACATTTATTGTAAATAAAATTTGTGTTTTTATAATAACGAAGTTAATTAAGTTAGTTTATTGTTTCTGGAAGCCTTCAATGGTTTTGAATGCTTGTGGAAACTGCAAACATCTTGTGCTTTGAGTAGTTAATTCGTGAAAACAATCAGTATTAGTTAATTGGGTTTTGTCATTATTGAATCTAGTAATGTCATGTTTTTGTTAAACGAAGGCTGCATTTGGGAACAATGTGTTTAAGTTATGTCCTCTTTTGACTGAAAACAGAATGTTAAACAGTTTTGTTTGAAATTAAGTTAACTTTTGACTTTACCTACCCTTTTTTTCTTTCAGATAAAGAACAAAGCTTCGGGTTCAAAAACTTCAAACAGGTAATTTCTATGCTTATTTGTTCTGCTCAACCATTCTCTGTTTACTTCCCTTTTCCATCCATGCATTTATATATTTTTATTTTTTATCTTCTCATTTTATTCAATTTGTTCTAGTTCGGATGATTCTGAAGAGATAACAAAGGCTAGATGTCACTACACGAGGGCAGTGGTTGATGGGGTCATCTATGATTTATATGATGATGCTCATGTCAAGGTGAGTTTGCTTTTCTCTTGGTTTCATGTATGCCTGTATGTATTTCCTTGAGTTTTGTTCTTATTTTGAATCCAGCTTATTAATTTTCTTTTTGGTGTTTAGGCTTCTGATGGAGAACCGGACTATATATGTAGGATAATTGAGATGTTTGAGTCTGAGGATAGGGTCCCCCATTTTACTGCTCAATGGTATTATCGATCCACTGACACGGTAAGTTGAATGAGGGCATATTTGTTTTATTCTGAGGGGCAGGTTTCATTTTTCTGGTGTGATATAAACCTAATTCTTGAAGCTATTATATTTTGAAACAGATCATTAAAGATAAGTACATGTTGGATGCAAAGTGTGTTTTCTTTTCTGAGATTCGAAATGACAATCCCCTGGAATGTCTTACCCAAAAGCTAAACATTGTCAGATTGGCACTCGATGTATGTGTATTCTCCTTTCTTTCTTTCTTTCATTTGATAATATTTTGACAAAATGAGTAATGTTTGGAGTTGTTTTCAGGTGGATTCTGACGCCAGAAGCAAAAAGACCTTAGACTGTGACTTCTATTGTGACATGCTTTATTTGCTTCCATACTCAACCTTTGTCAAGCTACCATCAGGTTAATGTTTTTCCCTTTTAATGGCATATTAATTTAAATAAAAGGCTTCTGCCGAGTGATGTTAAGTTGCTTATTAGTTTTAACTTATAGAAAGCAATACAACTTGACCTGAGATTTCATCAACAGTATCCAGTGATATTGATTGTTTACTATTTTAACTTGTAGAAAACAATACAACTGGACCTGAGATTTCATCAACGATATCTAGTGATGTTGATCCTTCTGGGGTGAAGTCTGAGTCGGATGAAGTTTGTCAAACCAGTGGCAGTAGGAAATCAGAGGTGGCTTTACTGGATTTGTATTCTGGTTGTGGAGCAATGTCAACTGGTCTTTGTCTCGGCTCTAATTTGTCTCATTTAAATCTTGTTACGGTAAATTTCTCTTATATATGTACATGTGTGTGATTTTATTCCCATAAAAATGTTCATATTTGATCACATTTTTTTTTTGTTTTCAATTCTTTATTGTAGAAATGGGCTGTTGATTTGAATAAATTTGCTTGTGAAAGCTTGAGGTTGAATCATCCTGAGACACAGGTTGTCCTTTTTAATTTTTTTTTATTCTTTCTATAGTTTCTTCACTCTAATATATTTAATTTTAACTTGATTAACTTCGTGGATTAGGTAAGAAATGAGACTGCTGAAGACTTTTTAATGCTATTGAAAGAGTGGGAAAAACTTTGCATAAGGTTTTCGCTTGTGAAAAGTGATGACCCAAAAAAGCAACAAACATATTGTTTTGATATGGATGATGAAGAGGATAATGATGATGATGATGATGAAGACGACAATGATGAGGACGATTCAGAAGTGTTTGAAGTGGAGAAAGTATTTGATATCTGCTATGGAGATCCTAAAGAAACTGGTGGCCAGCGTGATCTCCACTTTAAGGTTTGTATAAAAATATTTCATATTGTATATACTTTAGTTGTTGCATGTCTAACATGAATTGAACAAACTTTTAACTTTATTTTTTGCTGTCCCTTTAAATTTGCTTAATGTAGGTTAGTTGGAAGAATTATGGACGGGATTATGACACTTGGGAACCAATTAGTGGTTTGGGGTATGCAATCATACTACCTATTTTGCTTATTATTATTATTATTTTTTGCATGTTACTGTTTTATTTTTCTCTAACAAATATATTATTTGAATAGTAATTGTCGTGAAGCTATAAAGAAATTTGTCGTGCATGGCTTCAAGTCCAGCATTCTACCATTACCTGTGAGTTTAATTAGCTTCAACTCATTTATTTTTGTTTTATGTATATTTTTAGCTAATTTATTTTTTGAATTTATCATTTAGGGTGATGTTGAAGTAATTTGTGGCGGACCTCCATGTCAAGGAATCAGCGGTTTCAATCGTTTTAGGAACACTAACAATCCTTTAGATGATCCAAAAAACAAGCAACTCATTGTTTTTATGGATATAGTTGATTTCCTCAAGCCCAAGTTTGTGCTGATGGAGAATGTGGTTGATCTTTTGAAGTTTGCTGATGGATTTCTAGGACGTTATGCCATGGGTTGCCTTATCAATATGAAATACCAAGCTCGGTTGGGTATGCTAGCTGCAGGGTCATATGGTCTTCCACAATTTCGTATGCGAGTTTTTCTATGGGGTGCTTGCGCTACTGAGGTATGGTGTGTGTTTGTGTGTGTAAATTTTCTTATGTTCGAAAGATTTTATATGATTTTTCTAATTGAAGCTTTTATGTTTTGTAGAAGTTGCCGCAATATCCTCTTCCCACTCATGATGTTCTCGTAAGAGGAGTGGTTCCTTTGGAGTTTGAGGTATGAGTGTTGTTTTAATTCATAATGAATTTTAACGGCTAATATCATTATCGTTCATGATAAGTTTTTTTCCCTTTATTTTGATAATTTTGCTCATATCATGTAGGGCAACACGGTGGCTTATGATGAGGGTGTTCGTCCTCAGTTGGAGAAGAAATTATTTTTAGAGGATGCAATGTTTGACTTGCCTGCGGTTGGTTATAATTCCTGTTTGTTTTATTTGATATTTTTTAATTTTCAAGTGTTTTTTAGTTTCAATTATTACAATGTAATTAGGTTGCAAACAATGAATCTCGGGATGAAATGCCATATAGTGGAGCTCCGAAAACAGAATTTCAAAAGATGATTAGATCGAAGAAAATGGGTGAGTGTTACTTTGTTATCTTGTTAGGATTGTATTTTAATTAATATGTAATTCTTGGTAATACTTTTAAGCTTTTGTTTTATTTTTACACTTTTACAGGTTTGGGATTAAATAATGTATTGTATGATCATCGCCCTCTTGTGCTAAATGATGATGACTATCAACGAGTTTGTCAAATACCAAAGCGAAAGGTATTCTTCAACATTTGGGTTAGGTTTTTTAATCAAATTGCTGTTATATTATTGATTTTATATATTTTGTTTGATTAGGGAGCAAATTTTAGGGATTTACCTGGTGTCCGAGTAAGACCAGATAATAAGGTGGAATGGGATCCTGAACTTCCGAGGCAATACTTAAGCTCGGGAAAACCTTTGGTATTATTCTCTATACTGTCTAGTTTTGTTTCATCCTTATATAAATCTTGTTATCTATTCTCACAATTCACGTTACGTTGATTTATTGGTATTTTAGGTTCCTGATTATGCCATGACTTTTGTCAATGGAAGTTCTTCAAAGTAAGGGTTTAGCCATTATGTGTTTGGTTTAGTAAAGATTTTTTTTTTTTTTTTGGGTTTGATAATTAGTATGAGTTTGTGAAATAGGCCATTTGCTCGTCTTTGGTGGGATGAAACTGTCCCAACGGTGGTGACTCGTGCTGAGCCCCATAATCAGGCAATTCTACATCCTGAACAAGACAGAGTATTAACAATTCGAGAGAATGCCAGATTACAAGGATTTCCTGATTACTATCAACTACATGGGCCTATTAAAGAAAGGTGAATAAAACTATGGTATTAGGTTTAGAAATTTATCTGCTAATAAAAAATCTGTATAGAAATTGTAATTTGGATATACATATATCTGATAAACTCTTTTTGGTTGACTAATTCAGGTACATTCAAGTGGGCAATGCTGTTGCAGTTCCAGTGGCTAGGGCTCTTGGGTATGCTTTAGGAAGGGCATTTCAAGGATTAGCTGGTGATAATCCTGTGTTTAGTTTGCCAAAGAAGTTCCCTAATATTAATGAAGATCCTTCATCTTCATCTGAAGCTCAATTGTAACCATTCATATTCGGATTTTATCATTAATTAGTCATTATTAAACCAAAAAATTATGATTACCACGGCTTTGCTCTTGGTAATTTGATTATTTCGAAATGAAAATGAAAATTCATTTTCATCAAGTTCTGTGTTCTTCAATCATCCCATCTCCCAGAACTAACAATTCTGTGAACTAACAAAGTCTGAGAAAATTATGTACACAAAGAACCAGTATTTGACTGGTGTCTTAATTGGAATTGAAACAAGTGGAAATTTTGCTTTGATTTCTGTGTTAATAGTTCAACTATTCTTTATATAAGGAGTTGAATTTGCAATCTACATTTTGGTTAAGATTTTTAGATCAAACTATGAAATTATTCAGTGATTTCTATTCTTTGTGATTTCTGTTCTTTTGTTAATATTTTCATGCTAACTACAAAATAATTCGCTACGAAATTATTCATGTAATCTATTCACGATTAATTTTTATTTTCAAAATGTGAATAATTCCGCAGTATCGATAGATTGGAAGCATGAACCCTTTTAGTGAACAAGTAGAAGGATAAAGCCAGAATTCCGTGCCAACATGCATATATCAGATAATCTATCACCGAACATTTCAACGATTGCAAGATCACCAAGTCTAAATTCATCAAATTCAATGCATATTGCAGAGCCAAAAACCCAGAAACATCATGGATTTGAATTCCACACTGAAATGCCATAAACCCAGAAACAAAAAACAGGAGTCCCTCTCCCTCATTTTGATTTGGAAACAGGGAAAGGCGGCAGCTTTAGAAACAATTACAAGATCACCGAGTCTAAATTCATCAAATTCAATGCATATTGCAGAGCCAAAAACCCAGAAACATCATGGATTTCAATTCCACAAGGAAATGCCATAAACCCAGAAACAAAAAACAGGAGTCCCTCTCCCTCATTTTGATTTGAAAACAGGGAAAGGCGGCAGCTTTAGCACTGCTTCTTCAGTCTCAATTGGGTCTGATCTCAGAATCTGGCATTAAAACCAAAAAACCCAAAACAAAAGATGTTACCATAACCATATAAAAAGTGCCCACAAACTCCAAACTATGATTCTTCGTGTGTGCATGCAATGAAGAGAGAGCGAGAGCGAGAGAGAGAGAGAGAGATTGATTACTGGGTCTTTCAGTGGAGGCTTAGTGTCATCCTGAGCTGGCCGGAACTGGGGTTTTTGTGGCTTAATTCCATCGTTATTGCTGGTTTTGATCATTGCTGTTGGTGTTGATGACGATATCTCCGACCCTTTCATTTGCTTCCTTCACTTCTCAACACTGACCCAAAAGCCTCGTTGGTTTTAGTTTGCGGATTAATATGGCTCTCGCAAGGAGAACGACACGTAGTTTATCTGTTATTATTACTCTCAATAAAAACATCTTCTAATTCGGTCATTAATTATTAATGACCTTATTATCTCCAAAGCATGACAACGAAGTTTCATGTTCCTTATTTTTATGAGATGAAATTATAGAAAATGCCACTAAGTTTACTTGTCAATTCATGGTTAATTTGTCACTAATTTAATTTAATTTTGATTTAGATTCCGAACTTATGTTTGACCACCGTAATAATCCCCGAAGTACTTATGTTTATCATTCCGGCGATGGCTTTCTTTTGTGTTCTAAAAGGAGACGGCGTTCTGGTGAGAGGTCTAATCTATCACACTATGTATTCAATCCTACCACAAGACAATTTGCAATTATACCTCCACCTACTGACGATGCAAAATGTTATTATGTGATCAACCAAAATCCTGATGATCTGGACATGGGCATTGTCTTCCCTGATATGTCTCGTGACCAAAGTACCGATAAATCCATAGTAGTCAATACCATGGAGAAAGGCTGCCCAAAACGATTTGTTAAATACTGCCTCCATATGAATGCTGCTGTAATGGCATATCTTGAGGTAACAAAAGGTAAAGATCCTTCAGAGTTACCATTTTCATCAGAGAAAGGATTATTTGATTTATTGTTGTTTATCCAGGGGAACGACGAAGAAGGGCCATTTCTGGTGATGAGAATCGCCGGGGAGATCATATCTTTCAACTGCACTGAGACAAAAGATTACCTTTTGTATATGTTTATTATCGTCAAACATTTTCTGGAATTAAATTTTAAGAACAGGCAAATGGAATCATTAGCATGAAATATTTCTCATTTTCTTTTAGGAGCAAATTCCCACCATAATCTTTCAGTGCAGATTATTAAGCGGATAGTTTTATAAAAGGTAAGAAAGGACCCCCAAACTCCAAGCCGACGTTCTGTTCGTGTTATCTTGTTTTGCTTTTAAGGGGTGACTTTGATTTTAGAGGGTTTCAGATATCCGGGGATGGGGATATTTCTGACCCTTTCATTGCTTCCCTGACTTCTTAACAATCAATGACCAAAGTTTACTTACGAATGAATAAACTTAAAACCTTCTCTCTTCTCATCTAGATAATATCCTAAACATTATATCAATTAATAAAAGGTCCTCGGTTGCCGGCCTATGCATATGAAGATTCCATAGTCAACCACAAGTTTAAGCACTAGCAAGTCCATAATTACATATTATTAACCACTGACCTTATCAGTTCCAAAACTTGACATCTCAGTTTCATGTTCAGTATTTTTATGAGAGGAAGTTATCGAAAATGCCACTTGAGTTTATTTGTTTGGTTCCTTCAGGCGATTAGAACAACAATGGAAACTCTAAAGTTATCTGATTTTCTTTCTTGAGAAGAATCTGCCGTCCATTTGGTAACTCACAGAACTTCAACCTTGAAAAGGGAAACAAATGGCAACTTGTTATAGGATCAATGGCTTCCTCTTGTTCAAGCCATTTCACTTCTTCCATTATAACCTCAACAGAGAAGAAGAATTTGTTATCTATTGATGCTGTCCTTGGCAACGATGACCTTATCACTGAGATTCTATTGCGTCTGCCGGCAAAAGCAGTTCAGAAATTCAAGTTTGTTTCCAAGAGATGGTTTTCTATCATCTCCGGCACAAGTTTCGCTTCGCGCCATACTCACCTTAATTCTCACACCGTCTCTGCACTTCTCCTCAAAGTTTCCTTTTCTTTCAAAAAACCACCTGCCCACAAATATGTTTCTCTTTATGGGAAATCATCGGTTTACTTTTCCTGTGATTTTCTTGACTTTGACCCCAGTAACCCAGGATGTATTTATGTTTCGCAGTCCTGCAATGGCTTGCTTTTGTGTTCTAAATGTAGATGGAATTTTGGGGAGCTATCTGAACCAATAAATTATATATTCAATCCCACCACAAGACAATTTGCATCGCTACCTCCACCTCCTGACGATGGAAAATATTTTGATTCGATTCGATTGGTGTTTGATCCTTCGGAATCGCCTCGTTACCGGGTTGTTTGCATTCAATTCTGTACTTCAGAGTATAAAATTTATATGTATTCATCTGAGACTAAATATTGGAAGCTTTCTGTGAACCAATATTATTTTAATTTTTTACCAGTCAACTTTGCGGATGGTGTCCTGGAATGATGCTGTTCATTGGATTAGTCCTATGGGGAATGGTTTCAGTTTCTTGCTTGATAAGGAACGTCTTGAGACAATTCCAAGGCCTCCACTTCCTGAGAAGTGGCAGGATCAAAATTTCAGGTACTTTGGAGAGTCTGGTGGTAATTTGCATTTTATTGGGATTCTAGCAGGCAACCAAAATCCTGATGTTTTGAACATGGGTATTGCCTCCTCTGATATGTCTTATGACCAAAGTAATGATCAATCCATAGCAGTCTATTCCATGAACAGAGGCTGCTCAAAATGGATTGTCAAGTACTGTCTCCCTATGAATGCCATTGTAACGGCATATCCTTAGATAAGCGAAGATGAAGATCCTACAGCCTCACCATTTTCGGTGAAGAAAGGATTAGTTGATTTGTTATCGTTTATCGAGGGAAATGATGAAGAAGGGCCATTGCTAGTGATGAGAATCGCTGGTGAGATCATATCTTACAGCTTAAAGGACAAAACATTGAAGAAGATTTCGAGTCTTCCTTTTAAGCATGCTACCTACTATGCTCTCAGCTACACTGAGACATTATCTTATGTGTAATGGTCTATATCTTTGTTATTGTCATCCAACATTTTTTGGAGTTCTTCGCAGCTTCTGCAATGTAGAATTCTCGAAACTAAATGCTTATGTTTTCTTGCTGCCATGAATTCTTCATGGAAATATGAAACTCATACCTCCTTATGCCTAGGTTAATGAAATTTAGAAACTTTTTTATAGGTCAGAGCTTTGTTCAGGGCATGAATATCAGTTTATCTAAACCCTGTAAATCTAGTTACAACAAATTTCAATATTCAATTACTGAAAATCAAGTTATAACAAAAACCCTGAATTCTAATTCTCGCAATGAAGTACAAAAACATAACGTCATGCTAAAATTCCCTTGATTGGGATAGTGTTCTTTCGTTGTTTTTCATAGAGTAGTGCATTGGGATATATATATATTCATGGTCGTTTTGTCTACTCCGTTAATAATCTGCAGCGTAGCTGTGATGGAATTAAAGGGTAGACAAATTCATCAAGAACTTGTCAATTGGGCTCTCAGAACGGATACTTCAGCTTTTATGGGTGTTTCAGTTTAGCTTAACTCTATCTATTTCATTAATCAATTAATTAACTTATCAGTTCCAAAACTTCTCATCTAAGATTCATGTTTCTTGTATATATATGAGAGGAAAATATTGAAAATGCCATTGAGTTTATTTGTGAGGTTACTCCGGGCGATTAGAACAATAATAATAAGCCTCTAAAGTAATGTGATTTTCTTTCTTTAAAAGAATCTGCCGTCCATTTTATAACTCATAGATTAACCTTAAAGAGAGAAACAAATGCTTTAGGCAACTGCAAACTAATTATAAGATCAATGGCTTCCTTACCTTCCATCATGAACTCACCAAAGCAGAAGAATTCATCATCTATTGATGCTGTTCTTGGTAACGAGGACCTTATCACAGAGATTCTATTGCGTGTGCCCGCAAAAGCAGTCCTGAAATTCAAGTTAGTTTCCAAGAAATGGCTTTCTGTCATCTCCCCCGCTAGTTTTGCTATCCGCCATACTCACCTCAGTCCTCACACCACCTCTGCTCTTCTCCTCAAAGTTTTATTCTCTTTCAAGCCACCGCCTGTCCACAAACATGTTTCTCTCGAAGGGAAATCATTCGTTAGTTATGATTCTCTTAATTTTGACCTCCCCATTAACCCAGGAAGTACCTATGTTTCTCAGTCCTGCAATGGCTTGCTTTTGTGTTCGAAATTTAGATGGCATTTCGGTGAGAGGGCTAATCCAACAGACTATATATTCAATCCTACCACAAGACAATTTGCAATGATACCTCCACCTCCTGACGATGGAAAATATTTTAGTCGGATTCGGTTGGTGTTCCATCCTTCAGAATCACCACGTTACAAGGTTGTTTGCACTCAATTATTTAAGTCGGAGCTTAAAATTTATGTATACTCATCCGAGACCAAGGACTGGAAGCTTTCTTTGAGTCGACAAAATTTCGATTCTTTATCTGTCAACTTTGCGAATGGTGTCCTCTGGAATGGTGCTGTTCATTGGATTAGTCCTATGGGGAATGGTTTCAGTTTTTCGCTTGATAATGAATGCCTTGAGACAATTCCAAGGCCTTCATTTCCTGAGAATTGGCAGAATCACAATTTCAGGTACTTCGGGGAGTCTGGTGGCCATTTGCATTTTATTGGGATTCTAGCAGGCAAACAAAATCCTGATGATTTGAACATGGGCATTTTCTCCCCTGATATGTCTCATGACCAAAGTACTGATCAATCCATAGTAGTCTATGCCATGGAGAGAGGCTGCCCAAAATGGTTTGTTAAGTACTGTCTCCATACGAATGCCATTGTAATGGCACGTCCTGAGACAACAGCAGATGAAGATTCTACAGCCTCCCCATTTTTGGCAGAGAAAGGATCAGTTGATTTACTGTCGTTCATCGAGGGAAATGACGAAGAAGGTCCGTTGCTGGTGATGAGAATCCCTGGTGAGATCATAGCTTACAGCTTCAAGGACAAAAAATTCAAGAATATTTTGAGTTTTCTTCCTTTGGAGCATACTACCTGCTATGCTCTCCAGTACAATGAGACATTATCCTGTGTGTAATGGTGAATGTTCGTTTTTGTCCACCACTTTTAGGAAATATTCTGCAGCTTCGGTTTTTGTACCGCAAATTCTTCATGGAAATCTGAAACTCATTCCTCCTCATTAGTTTTATCCTTAATTTTTCCGTAAATTTTCTTCTTACAAGAGGAAATGGCACTCATTGAACCATAGTCAGTGTACGATAATTTCAGTATAAAAATAAAATCCATTTGCCTACATCTAAGGTGCAGCAGCACATGAAGCTAGCAAAAGATTAAAAATCAAACTCCTTCAGCCTTCATTTCATGCCACAGTCAACCAGAAGGCTTTGCAAGCTTTTCAGGGCGTTGATCAATCTATATAAACCTCTACCTTCTTTATGAACTTTCAACTTTGCCTATGCTTACTTATGCAGACCAATGAAACTTGAAATTTATGTAACGTTATGAACACGATAAAAACTAAATAAAAACTGTCAATTCAATTTTGAGGTCTTTTGGACCTAATTCGATGCCAATCGGGTGAACCATCAAAACTCATCGGATGTAGCTATGATGTAAGGGTGATTTTGGTAAAAAAAAGTCGTTTAGGCTTTTAAAATCAGTTTTTATGGTTTTTTGAGATTTTTCTTTAATATTTTCAGATTTTTAATATTTGTTTCCTTTTTGAATTGCTTTAAAATTTTTGTTGAAATTTACTATTTATGTATGACTTTGAGGCAAAAAAAACATCATTTTTCTTTATTAATAAAGTTTTATGAAAGAGCATTTCAATTTTATCTCAATTTTTAGCATTATTTGAATTAATGAAATTGAAGCCCAGCTATTAGTATTTATGTACAATTCACGATTTAATAGGTTATAGTAGATTTATATATGAATTTCATACCCTCAACAATAATTATCTTTCTTTTAATAAGTTTTTGCTACGTCACTTACCCTGCCAGCCTATTTTAGCATGAAAATCAACTCAAACCTTTTGTTTGGGGGGAAAACACATGAGTTTAGTTAAATCGATGATCACATGTCTTCACATGGGGCTTGGGAGAGTCAAAATCTGGCTTCTAGATTTTGTCAATTTTTACTGACCCCAATAAGAAATTAGAGTACAGGACAAGAGTTAGAGATGCAAATAGTTTTTACCATTAAATGAACACAGCAATGGACAGTAAGTCCACCACAACAAACATAAAAGGACAAGGATCCATGTATTATATTCTGCCACACACCAGGCACTCCTCAAGCCTTACTGTCTTGGTTAGGACTTCAATCAAGCAAGCACTATTCACTAGAGAGTTGTTCTTCTCCGCATGGCTTCAGCTCCAAGGCCAAGACCTTCCAGTTTCAACCCTTCAGAACATTGGCTCCTAATGGCAGCCACGTTACTCGTTAGTGGATTCTTGGGTTATGTAGTTTATGATGCAGTAATGGCCACAGCATCTGAGATGCTACAAAGGTTGCTGGTCATTTCTCCTCTGATTCTGATCATCGCTGTACATTGGCTCTCGGCGGGCAGCCAGTTTAACATTCCTATTCCAGGGTCTGAGCCTGGTGCCATCCATAGAGCTGGAGGTTCACCTTGGGGTGTGGCTTTGGTGTTGTTGCTTCTTGTCTTTCTCATATCTTACCAGCCTTCCTTGTACGGCCTTATCTTCTAGTGTCACTCATGTCCTCCCACGCTTAATTATCCATGTAAGTTAGCTTCTGCTGAATATGGTGTAACTTTTATCTAGTTGGTGCCACTTTGTGGTTTCTTAGAGTGAACATGCAGGATTATGAGCTTTTGCTTGCTTAGCTACTTTCTCCTTGGGCATGTTCTTAAGGAACTACTGCAACCTATGTATTATGTCACTGACAACGTAAAGGATTTTCCATTGCTAAGTTATCTTCAAAATTAGTAACATGTCTGAACCTCTTTTGAGGTTTAAAACACAATTCTGAACAACATAGTTTTTAGTCCACTTTAAGACCTTCTTCCCTAATGCAAATTCCCAGAAACCAAGTCCATGAAGAATACATTACATGGCACAGAAAAATTAATTTGCAGCACCATGATAGCAGAAGATAGAATAAATGAGAAGTGTACGTGTCCTTTGAACCACAAGACAGGAAGATTTCTTTTTCCACCTCTTGGGCTATCTCTCTCTCTCCCTCCATCATTTTCTTTCTTCTTGCTATAATCAAATGCTAAGCCTATGCCCTGATTTTGGACTGTAGTTTCTCAGTGGCAGATTATGGAGAAAATTTGAAGTCGTAGTACTTCATCTTTTTGAGGTGTGACCACTGACCAGTCATCATATAGCTGAAAGAAGCACCAATAATGGGTAGAGAGGACCACCTTGTCCTTAAAATCAAAATTACATCAACCCAAATAATGCAAGAATTATAAGATCTAAAGCACCTGTTAAAAAGGAAGAAAAAAAAGATATGTTTTCGGTGTCAGAAAAGTGTTTTATTCTGAGTGTTGGATGCATCAGTTACAGATACTTGAAATTTGACATAATTTGATGACTTTTGAACAAATTTTTGCTTTAAAAATCTCTTAAACAAGTGCCTAAAGTTCAAGAGAGCAACTGTAGAAGATTGCATATCCTGCAACGGGATTCGAGAATTCTGAAGAATCCTAGTTCAGTTCCCGTTGTATCACGGGAGCTTGTTGGATGAATGGGCACAAAAACAAGGGCTCAATTGGGGTAGGGGATTTTCCAAGCTTTTTCATGGGAATATGTGTACAAGTGCTTTACATACCACAAAAGCTGAAAATAAAAAAAATTCAATCCATCCTTGTTGTTCACATTGTTGAAATCTAGCAAACATACGATGAAATTCACTCTATATCCTTTTATTATTCAATATTATCTATTTTAACCCCGCTACTAATATATATTTGCTAGATTTTTTTTATCCACTTTCGTTAGCCACGTCTGATTAAATGATTCGTTAAACATCGGATAAAAAAATTAGTTTGTTCCAATATTCGATAATACAAGATTTATTTTGGATCATATAACTACTCTACATCCTATGGTTCTATTCATGAAGGATTTTTGAATATATATATTGTTGAAATCTAATGTGAATTATTAAATTTGGTGTACTATGTTGTATGAAGTGGAAACACACATAGGGATGGTAATAAATGAGTACCGATCCATTAATTAAATTTTTTATCCTATTCATTAAAAAAATACATTACCAATTATCCATTAAGAAATCATCATATAAATTTTTATCCAGCTCATACTTGGATCATATTAGTTTACTCGCTCATTTAATACCCAATAAATACTGACTAAATTTAATTTATCAAAAATATTCATTTTAGTCTCTATAATTTTTTAGAAAAGTTTTTTATTCTTAAAATTTATTTATTTATTGCATTTTAGTCCGTTATTTATAAGTTTTTGTTTGGTCCTCAAAGTTTTTTTTTAAATATTTTAATTCTTAATTTTTAAATTTTATATAATTAGGTTTCTGCATTGTAATAACAAAATCTAAATAAATTAATGGATATTAATAGAGTAAAGAATGAGTATCCATATACTAAAATCATATTAGTGAATATGTATTTTTGTATCCTTATCAAATTAATATCTGTTGGATAATTTTAATAGATATTTATTGATCTAGATAAAATAAATATTTATTTTATACTCGATCCGTTATGATCCGACACACGTTACTTTGCCTAACCACGATATTGTACTCGATGTCTAAAATTTAACCGTTTCTGTTTGGTCCAATTATTTGAAGTTGACAACAGATAGAGGTCACAATCTAAAGGAGATGCTCATGCAAGTAGTGCGTATTTACTTTGCTTTCTTTTTAGGGTTTGTGACCACATATTTCTTGATAGTCCATAGCGTGGACCACGCTTGTTCATAAGCTTCTAGCCGGACTTGACTTTGCTATATATGCTTAACCGCGAACCCGATGACCAAAATAATCAAAGCAAACAACTCCAAAATAGAAAAAATTATTATGTAAATCACAGAGTTCGGTTCATCCTTGATCCACGTTCATAAGATGATAAATCCCCTATAATTTATATAAGTAAATCAACGATGAATCTAATTTATGTAATGATTTTTTGTAAAACAAAATTGTTAAAAAACAGTCAAAAATGTGGTTTTTCTGTTTTGATTTGATCAAGATTCAAATTTAATTTTTATTTTCTATAAATATTTATAATTATTCTTCAATAATATTAAACTTAAACTGATTTGGTTTAAAAATAATCGATTAAAGATTAGACGGATTCTAATGTTGGCTTATCCTAAAAAAATAATAAATTTAATTTTAATTGATTTAAAAATTATTTCAAAAATATTATACTATCTATATATATACATATATACATATATATATATATATATATATATAAAACAAGAAAGGAAAAAAAAAGTTATTATTTCCCTTGCAAAGCTGTTTTTTTCAAAATTTAATATTTTTTGGCCTTATTATTTGAAGGCGTCCGTACAAGTTAGTGAGTGGGGCCTGCTTGGCAGGAGTGAGCTCAGGAGCCATCTGACATGTGACACGTGTACCATTAGTTGTACGGCCATTGCTTTTGAATAATTGTTTTCTTTTGCCCTCTTACGGTTTTACCTTATTTTTTGTAGATTTTTGTTTCTTTCAAATTGATGGATTCTGGGCTTTTGAAATATATTTAGGCCTAAAGCCCACTGGTGTTTTCTTGGGCTATTGGACTCGCACCAGACAAACGAGGCCCAACCATATAACTGCAATCCCATCCCTTTTATTTATTTTGCCATAAGAAAGGGTTGAATTAGAGATTTTCTGAAGGAAAGGAGATACGTACGAACTTAGTTGACTTGGCTCCATTCCTTTTTATTGATGATTTTCTATTTTATAAGAAATCTCAAAGTTGCTCATTTTTATTATATTCCGTCTGTATTTCAATTTCATTTTTTAGTATCCTTTTCTTTGGTGTCATTGACATAAGAAATATTTTATTTATATTTTATTTCTAAATTTAAATAAAATTTCTAAATCATCGTACGATAATTCGAAATTTGCAATAATGATGATATTGAAATTTTTTATACTAGATAATCTAGTATTTTTATGCTTGCAAATTAATTAATTTAGTAATTGTGGTCGGATTCTATTATGCATTTCTGATTACAATTTCTATGGGACCTTAGGTGGATGAATATTTGAGTCATTATTATTGATTTTCCATTGATGCTTCTTAAATTACACTGATGATTATTGATTGAGTTTCATAAATTATCTTACTTTCCTCTTTAAATTTTTTGCATGCAAATCAGCATTGATGATTAGAATGGGATGGAAACCAAAATCTGTGGACGACAGTTCCACGTAGCTCCTAGTTTGATTGAAGCAATTAATTTTACCTTTTTTTCTTTAGGTAAAAAAAATTATTTTATATTTAAAGCCCAAGCAAAGTATGGACTTTATGACAATTGTTTTATATGCATGAAAAGATTTGGACTTATCAATATAAAAAAAAAATGAATAACGAGCAAGCGAGCTGTTATAAATACTTGCATGAGAAGCTATATGACAATAGTTTTTTCTCTGTTAAAAAACGAAAGTATTCAAAGCTAAAATTAGTTAAAATAATTTAATCTTTATATTTTTGAAATTATTTTGATTGGATCTTTTTATTGAAGCCTCACGTATGATACGCGTCATATATTTAGAAACGTAATATACCACATCAGCTTACAAGCTGATGTTATTGTAATGGATGGAGGGTAAAAAAATAAAAGAGTTTTTTTAATAATTAAATTGTATATTTTTCAATTTTTTTTTATTCACATCCTCTATTTTTCGAGATGTATTGCCTGATACTCTCTTTTATTATATCACTAATTAATGATAGATACGTAATATTATAAAGTAAAAAAATCTCAAAAAGTAAAAGTGATTTGTTGATTACTTACTGATGAAGTTATAACTAAGGGTTTGAAACAAAAAATATTAAATAATAAAGAGTCTCAATTAAGAAAAAAAAGGATTTCGATAAATAAAAAATTCAAATAGTATATGGTCTAAATTTGGAGTGAATCCCAAAATAAAATAAAAATAAAAATAATCAATCGACTTCAAAAAAAAAAAAAAAAAAACTCTATCAAAAATCTGCTATAAACTATAGTTGTTTGATGTGACAAAATTTGGTTAAGGTTAGATCACTAGGCATCTTATATATTCCTTGAAAATCTAGGAGAGAGTAATACTACGTTAATATATATTATAATAAATATAAGCTACATGTTTCAGATCATATCATTTAATATAATTAAACATTACAGTGTCTTCCAATAACATTAATTACAAAAGCATCTGAAAATTAAAAATACAGAAAAAGAGCAAGTCTCTTGATACCAAAATGAACAAGGCAAGCCAGCTCTCACAGCTATCACACAACACACTCTTTCTACATATAAAACAATATATCTTCTAAAATTATTTTGTATACAAAGGGAACCAACGTTGATGAAAAGAAGATTGGTAAGAGATCATGAAAATAAGGAAAACAAGCAAAAGAGCAACACCCCATGGAGACCCTCCAGCTCTATGAACAGAATCCCTCTCAGGATATGGCAACAGAATCGGGAAACCGCTTGATATGCAATGCACAAGAAGCAGTAAAGCTACAGGAGAAAGC